CATTCCACTGCCTGAGCATTATGAATATTTAGCAGAACTCAGTCACCATGTTTCTAATGACTGGGGTCTTGGACAATATGCTACCAGAATGAAGACACCTCCTTATCACAGGAAGTTAGAAGGACAGAGATCACTAATGAAGAGCTAATCTTGACCCTATACGAATGCCACATACCCCTTTGATAAAAAGAGGAAGAATTGGATGCTTAGAGTTCCTTTCTTTCTCATGTTCCAATGTAATGGAATTCCAGGCAGAGTATTGCTATAAACACTTAAAATAAAAAAATACCTTGCTAGCTATAGAAAAGGGTAATAAAAAACTAATAAAAACAATACACTGAATTTAAATGTAATTGGTTATATTATTAATCTACTCATGTCAACATTTGTATGTCAATTGTGCTAAAAATATAAATATGGTTTGAATGTATTATTTCTATTTGCCATTAGATGTATTGGTTAATGCTACAATATTTTCTATGACTGTTTTTTTCTGATAATCTATAATGTTAAACCTCCAAATCCTATTTTTTTTAACTAAATTATATTGCAATACTTACGAGGTTAAATGATTATTTTCAGTGGTGGCAACATAACATGACAATCAGAATATTTAAGAATACATTCAACACACTTCTTGAGTACTATAAGCAGGCCAAAATTTCAAGTCTTTTGTTCCTACTCCCACGTCAATGTTGTGTTGTATTTGGCAATAACAATAATTGTGAAACATATTTTTGAAACTGATTTGCTTGTGTAATACTGCTCCTTTTTTCTGATATATAATTTAAAAAGAATATCTCCACTTTGAGTCACTCGGTTTATCAACTAATTCTTTTGTCTTTCGTTAAAACATGTATCTACATAAGTTCCAGCTTTTAGAACCTTTTTGAGAATTCCATTCATGCCTGGTTAAATATTTCATCCCAACTGAGATCTAAATGTCAGTAAGAATATTTAATGTTATTAAAATATCAGAGTACCAGTGTAACACAGAAAACAACGACACGATAGCAGTAAACACCAAACTAGGTGTAGCCTACAGCAAATAAAGGGATTGCAGAATTCTGCAGAAGACTGCTACTTGACCAGGTGATATAAAGCCCATAGTCTGATCTTGTCTTGGTAAACACGCTGAACCAAGTTTGCGTTTCATGCTGACTCTGCATCCGAAACACATGAATAAAATTAAACAGTCCTGGCAACACCGATGAGAAAATCTAATGTGATGTGCATTCTCTGGGGTCCCCCTTTACTTCCCCAACCCATCATACTTCCCCCTCCCTTAGAAATAAAGTATAAAGTTGAGTCGGGGGGGATAGAGGTCATTTAAGTCATAATGTGATTAACTCTGCCATTGCCATATGAATATAGGAACCTTATATTAATAATTTTGTTAAATTGTCAACAAGCATCACCTTTTGATAGTTTAAGAATTAAGAATGTGGTAATCATATTGTGGCATTATTTTGTTTAGTAAATGTAGTATATCTGTGCGATGGTGAACTGCTCCAAAAATTTTCCACTGTCCTGTATTGCCATGATAACCCTAAACTATTTAATCCTGTATTGTAATAATGCATTTTATAATCCTATATTTTTTATGGTACACATTATTTATGGTACATTTAATAATTCTGTGATAGAAGCTCAATATTTATTAATCAAGGTAATGAAATGAAACAATGAAAGTTTAACTGCCAATTATTTTTATTGAAACCCTGTGTAATAGTTATGGTGACAGGAGTGCCCATGTGCCACCCCACATTATGTTTTTACCGTTTTAGTGCAGTTTTACAACTTAGCTGAGGCCCCCAAGCACCTGCACCACATCTGTCTTCTCTTACAGGAGAAGCTTGATGTCACTGCTAATTAACGTCTGGCTCAGATCGCTCAGCTGACACTCTCAGCCAATGAGCACAGTCCTGCATGGCCCTGCTTATTATGGAAATGACAGGATTTGGCGATAGATTGAACATGAGGCTTGAAGGAGCGATCGGAGTCAAAGAGAACACCTAGGCAGCGAGCCTGCGTGGTGGAGCTGATGGTAGCACTTGACTAGACTTGGAAGGAGACAGACACAGGAGTAACAACACTTGAGGGAGGAAAGACCAGAATTTCAGTTTTGGTCAAGTTTAGTTTAAGGAAGTGGGCAGCCATCCAGTTAGAAATAGCAGAGAGGCAGTCAGATACACTAGTCAAGAGGGACGGGGAGAGATCAGGAGAGGACAGGTAGCTTTGCATGTCATCTGCATAGAAATGATATTGGAAGCCAAAGGAGCTAATGCGTTTATCAAGGGAGGCAGTATAAATGGAGAACAGTAGGGGACCAAGGACTGAACCTTGGGGGACACCAACAGAGAGGAGTTGGGGAGAAGAAGCAGAGCCAGAGAAAGAAACACTGAAAGAGCGCTGGGAGAGGTAGGAGGAACACCAGGAGAGAGCAATATCTTGTAGACCGATATTGCGGAGGATGAGAAGCTGTTGATGATCAACAGTGTCAAAAGCCGCAGACAGGTCAAGGAGAATTAGGATAGAGTAGTGACCATGAGATTTTGCAGCGAGTAGATAATTGGATACTTTAGTCAGTGCTTAGCGCGGAAACCAGACTGAAGCGGGTCTAGCAGAGAGTTGGACTCGAGGAAGTCTGTCAATCTCGCATACACAATTCGTTCAAGGATCTTGGATGCAAAAGGCAGTAGCGAGATAGGATGATTACACAGATATACATGCACACATACACACACATTCATGTAGACACCAAGACATACACACACATGGATATACACACCGATACATGCACACACCTTGACATACGCAAACAATCACCTTGACATACACATACCATGACACAAAGATACATACGATGACAAACATACACGCACAGATGCACACCCTGACACACCGATGATCATACACAGATGCACATACTGAAACACAGATGTGAGCGCACACACAGATGCACACTCTGACAAACAGATGCACACACACACACAAATACACACACATTGATACACAAACACATCTTGATACAGATACACACACTGACACATACACACACCTGAAACAGCTCACTGCAGCCTCACCTCTGCCTTCTTGCAGGTTGTCCACCTTGTGCTCCTTCCCGCATGATGCTCAGTGAAGCTGGGAGGAAATTACATGCTGTAATTTCCTCTCAGCCTGCCAATATCACAGTGGCTGGTCAGGCTCTTAAAGGGCCGCAGCGCCCGACCGGCCCCTGATGACCAGCAAAACAGTTTTACCCTTTGTGTGGCCCTAATTGAATGGGACATCCGATAGGTAATTTCGCGACACCCCTTTATCCCTGTATGCCCCAGGGCAACGCAACATAGCTTGGGAATGGCTGGTGTATACAATTTATCAATAACTAGCTGAAGGTGAACGTGTCTTCAAGATGATATGTATGTAGCAGGCCCACCGTAATTTATTAATAATTACTTACTGTTCAATTGATGGCCTTAACAAACTTTCCATATTATAATACATACATTGACAGTCCTATAGCATTAATACAGGTATTAATATCACAATATTAATAATTTCTTTTTTATAAAACAAATAAACCATGTGTATACTTCTGACTCGCTCCTTGCCCACTACAGCTGCACTGTCATCTAGTGGTGAATATATGTAAGTTTCACACGTCCTTAGCCTTACATACTATTAATTAAATAGCATTAAACAATACATTTTAAGTTGCGATTTTAACCTGTTAAATCCCACAAACATGCTTAGGCTTTTTTATGTCAAAGGTGGCATGTTTTACAAACACACCAGTGCAAATGTTCTGAAAGACACCTATACAGAGGCTCACTGACTGCACAGATAACAATCATCCTGCCCTCTCAGCTGGTACATACCTTGTGTAGGTGATAGCTACACATAGCCCCAAAAGTGTCACATATCACTATGTATGTATGCTTTTATGTATGAAATAAAAAAGCAACCCCTGTGTCTATCCCTATGACTGCAGAAGCTTTCCTATCCTTTTTTTCTTAGTACTATTTGCAATTATTCACTCTGGAAGTCATTACATATTTTCTATCATTGGCCTCCTAACATCTATCGTCAAAGCTTAAATGTGGTACATTTGCTAAAGACAACACAACACCATAAATGTTCCCTAACACATTATAGGTCAAGCTTCGGTGAAAGAACTGGAAATATACAGTGTGTGTAACGGAAACATCAAGACCTCATGTCTATGGCGCAGATTTCTTTAATAAGCAGACAAGTGGCAGTGTCAGTAAGATACGCGATAAGACTTGGCAGAGATATCTGGGCATCGTGCAACATATGCCAGCTTCCCTGAATAATTCTAGTCTTGAGTGTCTTAAAATCCCTTTGGAGTGGAGGACAAGGTTCTGTGCTTTTTCAAGTCCCTTTAAACATTTCTAAAAATATGGAAATTGCGTGTGCTGCAGGAGAGACCAAAACCACAAGTGAAGGGAGAATTCACACAGATAGAGACGATTGAAATAAAAACCATTGTTACTACAAGTAACGAGCAACACAAGAGAGATTTGATTTAAAGGTCACTGGCTGCATTTGCTCAAATAGTCTAAACTTGTTATAACCTATTAAGATATAATACAAATTGCTAAGAAATTATCCTTTGTGTGTATTAATATATTGCTCATTTTCAGTATTGGGGGCATAGACAATGTAAATAATTTTGTTGCATGAAACAGTAGGAGGTCAGAATAGGTGCCACATTTAAAGGAACACTATAGTCACCTAAATTACTTTAGCTAAATAAAGCAGTTGTAGTGTATAGATCATTCCCCTGCAATTTCACTGCTCAATTCACTGTCATTTAGGAGTTAAATTACTTTGTTTCTGTTTATGCAGCCCTAGCCACACCTCCCCTAGCTATGATTGACAGCCTGCATGAAACGAAAACTGGTTTCACTTTCAAACAGATGTAATTTACCTTAAATAATTGTATCTCAATCTCTAAATTGAACTTTAATCACATACAGGAGGCTCTTGCAGGATCTAGCAAGCTATTAACATAGCAGGGGATAAGAAAATCTTAATTAAACAGAACTTGCAATAAAGAAAGCCTAAATAGGGCTCTCTTTACAGGAAGTGTTCATGGAAGGCTGTGCAAGTCACATGCAGGGAGGTGTGACTAAGGTTCATAAACAAAGGGATTTAACTCCTAAATGGCAGAGGATTGAGCAGTGAGGCTGCAGGGGCATGTTCTATACACCCAAACTGCTTCATTAAGCAAAAGTTGTTCAGGTGACTATAGTGTCCCTTTAACTCTTGACACAGAGCCTAAACATCTACTACTGGTTTTAGACTTGGGATAACTTCAGCGGCAAGTACTTAAATTCCAAGCTCTAAGTAGCACTGCACCCCCTCCCATATCTCTGTTCTTATCGTCATGTACCCTTCTTTCTTCCCAGGACTCTCTTCTCCTCGTGTTACTTCCTTCAACACCTGTCTTGTAGACGTCTCCAGTGCTGCACCTCTGTAATTCCTTACCTTCTTCTGTCAGAACTTCCCCAACAATCCACAGTTTTAAACATTTACAAAAAAAACACTATTTAGAGATGCCCCCTCCCCATTCTAAATTCCTGCGGGTATCCTATGTCAACCAGGCTCTCATCAGCACTTAATCATAACTTCCTACCATGTAATAACTTTAATAATAATCTCCTCACTCATGCAATCCCTTCACCTTCAGCCTTTATCATTCCAACCTCCTTCTAGATTGTAAGCTTACAAGATCAGTACATTCTATTCTTCTGTGCCAGTATGCACTAATGTGTATTTTATGTAAACTTTTATGCAGTGTGTTAAGCATCAACTTATTTGTAACCTTATTATATCGACCAGCTCCTCAGCATCTGCTGGCATTTTATAGAAATAAATAATTATAACTGTAATCAGTACCATAGAAATTCATATTATCACAGAAAATAAGAGGAACCTATCATGTACATTAAAACTACTGCAAATATGACCCAATCAGAGAAGGCATACTGTATTTTTACAGTGAGTATAAACCATCACTGCATGGCATAATGTAACATATCCATACAGCAATATGTGTGAATTTATTATCACACCGGTATATATAGTTAATGCCATCTAATTCCATAAATTTAGTTACCCAGTAATTTACATTTCCCTGGCAACGGCATCCTTAAGCTTTAGCAAGACTATTGGGTAAACTTTATTATCAAGTGTACTAACTGTGTTATACAGTGTGTGCTGTTGACAGGGACAAATGAGGAATGCCAGGTCTCAGTGTGGAGATGGAAAAATGGCAAGATGATAGATAACAAAAAGGTTATGGAAGGTTACAGGGTGCAAGAGGGTCAGTAACAGGGCACAGTGAGAATTTGAGAGAGTCATCTCCTATTAGGACTGGGGTTCATTCATTCACAGTATTCTTTGCATGATGGTTTGACTCCACTGCACATGTTGAAGGCCGTATTAAGTATTTCACACAGACACAATAAAGTGTGTCTGTATCCTGACAGGCATTAGAACTGAGAACTAACAGAATAAAAAATCGTAGGGTTATTCACTGAAGTGAAAATTGTCAAATTTAAGATCAAAGTAGCTGAACTGGAAACAGAGTACGTATGTTTCCATTTTGGCTATTTTTGCCTTAAATCGTATATTCACTTTTATTCAATTTGAATTCCCGACACTTCTCACTTTAGTGACTAACTTTGACAGTTTTATCAATTCAATAGACACGAACGATAATATTTAATCATGAGGTAATTTTAAATTACTAAAACGTGAGAAGAGTTCCTTCGAATAGCATCTGAAATTATTATAAAACATATATTCTTATTATGATCCTATCAAAGCAAGGTAATGTATCGTTTTTTAGTTCCCAAAATGCTGCCGGCATCTAGGAGTTATTGTGACCCAATGCAATGGCACATGATTTATTGACTTTGGTATAATGAAATGCTGAGATCAAACTTGCACCTTTGAGGTACTGCAGCTGGAGTACTAAACCCTTGAGCTATCTCACCAGCTTATGCATTCTTGTTTACATGCATTGTCTTCACATGAGTAAATACTCACTGTGAAATATTTCTACAAAACATTAGGACTCACTCACTAAGGGAGTTGTCTTGCTTACAAGAAAACAGAATCCGTTGTATAAAAAGAAACCAATTTGACGAAAATCCATTATATAGAAAAGGTCTCATTTACTGAAAATTACTTGCAGACCGATGTAGCCCTGAAAAGGGTTATGACCTCCATAATATTACTGTGAGCAGAAAAAAACATACAGTTCAGTTTTCCATCCTTCTTAATAGGAAGATCCACATTTTTTTTTTATCGGTTTTAACATATTTTCTCTTGCAGACAACTAGCTTGCAGCAGCAATACACATATACCCCAGATCGTCCAGAAATATATTCATTCACTTGGAGTCTATAAGAGCTTCTTGCATGTTAGCAAAAATCACATAAAACTTCTCCAAGGGAAACTTTGGCAGACTACAACAGGGAAGTTTAGTTGCAGAATAAGGGCAAACCTTTTTTTTTTTTTTTTTCTTTAGCTGAGAGAAAAATTGGCCTATCTCGCAGGCAGTGTCAGAATATGGAAATGTTTACAAAATGCTCATTAGGAGAAGTGGGATTCTGAGATAGCAGCAAAATCTGGTGAGACGCTTCTTGTGTAGGAGATAAGGGAAACAGGGATGCTGTAGGGACATGTTATCAAATTAGAGAAACCTGGCTTTTCAGAGAGAGAGAAGAGAGGGGAGAGGGAGGGAGAAAGAGAGAGCAAGATCTGTGTATGTGAGAGAGAGAATGGTCACAAGTTATAGACGAGTGTTTCCAAACTTGTCAACTGCAGATGACAAAAGCAGTGTCCTCTCAAGAGAATAAAACAGACACACCGGACATCACTGGCAGCTGAGATTAATCAGACCAAGAGTGATTTCTTACCATGGATCCCATGTCTCTGCGGCTGTTTGTGGCCCTAAGTTTATTGGTGCAATTTATTTCGGCCAGTCCCATCATGGGGTTGGAAGATGACTTGCCTTTATATGATGAAGACCTTACGGAACAGGATGGGTTTGATTTCAATTCCTTACTGGAAACCATGAAAGATGACTTCCTGAAAACTCTAAATCTCACTGGGATCCCAGTTCAGGCACCTGTCAAGGTGGAGCCGCCGGAATACATGCTAGAACTTTACAACAAGTTTGCAAAGGACCGAACTACCATGCCTTCTGCTAATATTGTACGCAGCTTTAAAAATGAAGGTAAGAGCTCGGAAATGGGGTAGTAATGAAGGTACATTAAGAATGGGCATTGAATAACTAATTTTTATTATTTCTCCAGTGGAGTTTCTTCACAATATTATTTGTGCGACCATATCACGCATGTCAAATACTGTTACCCGAGATGATATTGATTTTATTATTTGGTCAAATTCACATCTACATATATTTATATAACCATGAACATTTGGAAAATATTTCTTACAAGTGCCTTTGCTTTTTTGACCTTGTCATCTACACTGCTAAGTCGTGCTTCGTAATTCTGTTGCAGTCATCCAAGTGAAATAATCTCACTTTTGTACAGACATTGAAACGTGCAAAATTTAGGCACTAGTGACACAGAGAGCAGAATTTTTTGTTACTTAGTTTCTTGACGTGCCACAAATACAGCAAAAACAGACTAGGCCAGTTCACTCAGCTGCAGGTTTTCCATGTTCTAATACTGATTCATTTAATTGCATTACATAACTAAAGTCAATTAGACGTGTCATGATTCTGTGAATACATAGGCTGTTAGACCATCTGAATTTCAAAGCTTTATTGCATGTTACAAACACCCTCACTTCTGTCCATCCCCACCTCCTTCACTCTATGTCCCAGTGTAATTGTTACCTGTCTCTCTTTTTACTGATAGATACAGTGTTTATCAGGTTATTGCTGATTATTTTTTTTAATATCTATTCATACAATGATCATTTATAAAAAATGTGTGTAGGTCCTCATGCTCTGTGGGTTTTAAAAGGTTTTCTTGTGGTTTCCAAAAGTGTACAGCGCCCACAAGCAGTTTGACAGATGTTTTACAAGTGACATTTCTAACCAATCAAATGATTGACTTGTAGCACTTGCTTCTCCCACAACAACTTCATGTGATTCATATTGTGTTAGAACACATATAATGGAAAAAGAACGTCTTCTCAAAAATATGTAAAGAAACAGTTAAACCCATTTGGCTTTTCATTTCGTATTAACTCTGCATTTCCTGTTTTTCTTGAACATTAACAAGAAAGAAGATGTGTTTCTAACCCTTCCAATCGCCTTACAATTTATTTGCTCACTAAAAGCGCAGTCCTAAAACCTTCACTGACTTTATACAATAGTTCCAGCTGCTTCCCATCTCTGATATCTATTCATCTCTCTCCAGACTCATATAAAATAAATTTTGTTGTGGGAAAGGCCCCATCTTAATTTCATGCTGGGGGTCACAGGGCAGTGGGACAGTTGCAACACAAAATCAACATCTAGGCATGTTTTGAACAACTTAATTCCCACTATTTCTTCTCAAAATGGCAAATGTTTGCTGAACACGTTGAATACTGTTGAACAGATTAAAGATCTCATTTCCTACACACAAAAACTTCCATTTTATTTGTGTGCACCATATGTTTGGCAAAACTTTTTCAAGACGGACATGTGAACTCAGAATCTCCTTACATATGTTCCTGACACAATCATGCAGAAGAAAGTCAAACACTTCATTCACGTATATTGCAATGGATTTCTGTTTGCATGCTCATTTGCAAATGGCATCATATCATTATCACTCAAAACATATCTTTAAAGTTATCTTAGCCCCTACTAAACAGATGGGATACATAATAATAAAAATAAATGAATGGTACCTCTGCTGGTAACTTTGCAACTCTTCTGGGTATATTGACGGTTATGAATTAAATGAATTGCATGGAGTAACAGTTCAGCTAGATGGGGCAAAGTGGGTGGGCCAAGTTTGTCTACTTTCAAAGTCAAGATGGTTTGTCAGTTAGTCTTTCTTCTGTTGTTTGTGTTATATATCCTGTTATTTATTAGTTTGATTATACAAGGCTGGGGGAGTTAAGATCTTAGCCATAGTTCCGAAACCTCTTAGAACACAAAGGGTGTATTACACAGCCAAACTGGCTTCATCCCAGAATAAATCTGTGCATGTACAATATGCAGGCAGAACGTCTGTGTTTAATTATCTTTAAACTTCCCGAGCTCCCAGTGGGCTATACATTGTGAAAAAATACAGTCGATAAATCTTTTACATGATCACCATCCCTCTATATTTTTGCCCACAAAATCTCATTATGGTGATTATGTTTTTGGCTTGGAAGTGTCTCCACAAATGACCTTTTTAAATCAAATGAATCTGTGTAAGACTGGTAGAATATGTGAATCTAACTCTGAAGATAGAAAAAAGTCAAAAGTAGGATTTTCTGTGTTTTTCTCTACCTGCTGGAAAACCTTCGACCCCATGTGATCCCAGACCTGAATTTAGATCAAAGAAAACCCTACAAGTTTTTGATTTTCTTAATGTGTTAACATTGATCAATGAATAAGGATAGTATGTGGCTGATTTAGTGTTTTTGTGTGTGTGTGTGTGTGTGTGTGTGTGCTGTCATACGCCTGTGGTGTCTTCATGGACATTTATAGTTGCAAATGAAGGATGCATTGATTTTTTTATGTAAATGTTCCAGAGTGTAGTCCTGTCACATCTGGATTATGTAACACTGACATGGCACATTTTTTGCATTGTATTAATCAACGCATTATTGGGCTTGAGAAAATGGCATGGACCAGATTACAATCATTATTTTGTAATAAGTTCTTTAAAAATAACAGAACATTCTGTTGGATTGTGAGGATCATTGTATAAACGAAAGCTTCATTTATAGACAAGTGGCACATGATCAGCACCGTTGCAAGAAATAATGTCTGGAAATCTACCAGGATGAATTAACTTCTGTTCCCATTACATATGCCATAAGACTAATTCGTGTATGAGAAATAAGAGGATCCATTTAAATTCACAGGTTAGAGTTCAATAAAAATTGACCAGATAATAGAGATTTGTAGAACAGAAGTTATAACACACAAACTACAAACACCATCTTGCATGAATTTACAGCAAAGTGTGACCAGTGTACTGCAAAGAGATATTATCCCCGATCACTGGATAGCATTACATAGGCAACTGCATGTTTTAAACTTTCAACTTTAGAGGCATAAAGCTCTATTCTAGTTTAAGTGTCTGTCTAGTTCTACCTAGAGCAGACTCCTTAGTTAGGGGCTCACATGTACGTGACTTGGTAATGTTAGCACAAGAATTGTAGAATTACATTTTCTTTCCCCTTCATTGTGCCATGCATCTTACAATGCGCAAGTTAGTTTATTAAACAATTTGAATAATTATATGATATTGTGGAGCTACAGAAAAGCATACTGTTATCTATAATTGCATTTGTTTTATCTTTATTGTGTACATATATTTACCAAGATTTTATTAAACAAACCTTTAATAGTTTAATAATTTATATAAAGTCTCATACCATCATAAAAATAAAATCTTAGAATTGTAACATCCTTTAGATGATTACCATTATTTATACTGAACCAACATATTTCTGAGAATGGTACGGCAGGTAATTGATACATACAAGTGATTGTGATGGAATAGCGTAAAAAGACGTGTGAAAGGTTTAATTTGATGGACTTAAGTCTTTCATTCTCGATGTGACTATGTCACTTAGTTAACTGGGAGGAAGAGGCACGAAAGGTGATGAGGGACCAGCTCCGTCGGGATTACAATCTAAAACAAGGGTGGTCAAAAGCTAGAACCCCAGAACTTCAGCTAGAACTGCAGCTCTTGTGATGACAGATATGTCCTAATTCACAAATGCATATTCTACAACAGTCTGGCCTATTTAACATGCTACGTGGAGTTCACTTTAGTAAATTTCATAACTGACTTTGTTTGATGTTTAATGTCTGTCTTAAATCTCTGTTTGGGATTATCTGTCTCTCTGAAGACAAAGTAGGATTCAGCACAGAAAAGCACCAATTAAAGAAACACTCCCACCTTTATAAGAATTTAAGCTAATTTAAGTTGCTATGAAAACAGGATTGAACATCATCTTACCTTCAGGGGTTAAACCCTTTTGCAATGGTTTAAATAAAAAACTGGGGCTCCTGCTCCCAAGACCAGGCTTCATTCTTCTTGGTGCTGCAGTATGAGGAGATTTTAGCTGGGTGGCCAGTAAAAGCATCAGCAGACAGTCTCAGTCTATCACTGGCCTCCCATTGAGAGAAAAAGCATGTACTACAAGGTCAGTTATAGGCCAAGGAGCAGTATGAGTGTAAAGAGACAGTATGTAATATTCAGCCGTACTCTGCTCTCTTCTCACTCTCACATTGCTACTCAGTGCCTGGGTCAGCCTTGATAGGCTGGGCAGTGAAACATGAACATCTTCTGCCTTGGTCTTATTTGATCACACTACTAAGTGTGACACTGTAGAAAGTGCGAGCTGTGTACACCTCTGTCATCTGGGGTTGGTTGCAAATGGCCCCGAGTTTGAAAGGTACTAAGTGGCGGCCTTGTCCAATCTGTACTTTATCTTACTACTTATCCATAGAGGGTGCCAGGGCACCCCTGACACAGTGGCGGATCCAGAGCCTGATCTCGGGAGGGGCACTTGTAGATTATTTAAAGAAATAATCCAGACACAATAACTACTACAGCTCAGTTTAGTGGTTATGGTGTCAATAGTGCCGGGACCCCCTCCTAGAGTAAGTAGTCAAACCGTTTAAGAACAGTTTGACAACTTACCTGAGGTCTGCTGGGAAATGGGGCGGTAGTAGGGCATAGGAGCAGTGATGTGTGTGAATGGTGCAATGTGTAAGGGGTGCAGTGTGTGTGTGTGTGAGGGGGACAGTGTGTGAGCAGTGTGTGTGTGTGTGTGTGAAGGTTGTAGTGTGTGAGTAGGGGGGGCAGTGTATGTCAGGGATGCAGTGTATGTGTGGGACAGTATGTGTGTGTAACAGTTGCAGTGTGTGTGTGAATGTGGGCAATGTGTGTGTATGGGGCGGCAGTGTATGGGGGCAGTGTGTGTGTATGGGGGCAGTATGTGTGTATGAGGGCAGTATGTGTGCATGGGGGGGCAGTATGTGTGTATGGGGGGGCATGGGGGGCAGTATGTGTGTATGGGGGGGCAGCATGTGTGTATGGGGGCAGTATGTGTGTATGGGGGGCAGCATGGGGGGCAGTATGTGTGTATGGGGGAGGCAGCATGTGTATGGGCAGTATAGGGGGCAGTATGTGTGTGTATGGGGGCAGCATGGGGGCAGTATGTGTGTATGTGTGTATGGGGGGCAGTATGTGTGTATGGGGGGCAGCATGTGTATGGGGGGGCAGGGGGCAGTATGTGTGTGTATGGGGGGCAGTATGTGTGTGTATGGGGGCAGCATGGGGCAGTATGTGTGTATGGGGGGGGCAGTATGGGGGCTATGTGTGTGTGTGTGTTAAGGGCAGGGGGGGGGCTTTTTTTATAATATATATCTTTATTTAATTAAAAGAAAACAAATATTCTATGTCCCCCCTCCCTTCTTACCTTTATTGAGGAGGAGGGGGGACATATTTTCATCCTTGGTGGTCCCAGTGGTGATTCCCTGGTGGTCCCAGTGGTTACAGTGAACTCTAGCCCGCGCTCCCGGGCTAGAGTTCACTCTCGCGAGATTTGGAGCGTTGTCAACGCTCCAAATCTCGCGAGAGGAGGACCCGGAGGAGCTGCAGACTGAGCTCCGGGTCCTCCCTCCGCCGCCGGCTGTCAGCACAGTGCCTGCGGACCGGGGAGGGAGATCTCTGATCTTCCCTCCGGTCCGCAGGCACATTGCAGGGCTGGCAGGGGAGGGAGACTGGCGGATTTCTCGGGGGGGGCAATTGCCCCGTTGCCCCCCCCTGGATCCACCAGTGCCCTGACACCATATTCACTAGCGTTATGTAGTGGTAATGGGGCCCATAGTGATTATTTAGCCCCTACACTACTGAGCTCTTTTGTATTGAATGAATATTAGAGTAGCTTTCATTTGAAGCAAGAGATACATAGCCAGCATATAAACATGTCATAACACGGAAATAAAGATTATGTAAATTTACACAATTGTTATTTTTCACTTATTTGTTCATCCTTTAGAAAAAAAATATTTGGAACATTTATGGCATACAGTGTCCTTTATCTTGCAATATTTCACACACATGGTCTGAAATGTTTGTATAAAACAAAAATTCTATTTTTCTCACATACAGTTAGGGTTGACACCTTTCTTGGGAAAAAATACCGGCCATTCTAATTTGCAAATATTATGTTATAATACATTATTATTATTATTTATTAATTATGTATGCGTGAAATCACAGGTTGTAAATCACAATGAGTGACATAAGAGAACATTCTGTAAAATCACCAAAAAACTACTCACAGTTTGATTCTGCTGTATAGAGGGATTGCTCCCACTGTCTCCCTGTCTCGCAGTGTCTCCCTGTCTCTCAGTGTCCCTTAGTCTCCCAGTGTGTCCCTGCTTTGCAATGTCTCCATGTTTCTGTGTCCATTAGTCTCCCAGTGTCTCCGATCTGGCATTGTCTCCATGTCTCGCAGTGTCTCAATGTCTCTCATTGTCCCTTAGTGTCTCCATGGCTCCCAGTTTCTTTATGACTCTCAGTGTCTCCCAGTCTCCCCATGTCTCTCAGTCTCCCCTAGAGTCAGAGGCGGGCTATGATGGGGGGCAGGGAGGCCATCCTAAACCATTTTAAAAATGGCCGCTGCAGGGCCGATCCTGGGCGGGTGCTGCGCCCAGACGCCAAGAGGTAGAGGGTGCCGTGCGGAGCAGGCCGATGGCCTGTAAAAGGGAGCCCAGCAGGTGGCCTGTCAAAGGGAGCACAGCTGGCCACTTAAGGGCGTCCCCCATAGCAAGGGAAAGTAGGCACCTGCTTATCCCCGATGGCAAGTGCCTACTCTGCAGCAATATACCGGCCAGGTGAAGGAGGAGGCAGGCGGCGGCGAGGGAGTGCTGACTGTGCTTATGATCTTCCTGCTCCCTCGCGCGCTCTCTGTGGGGGCTGGAATATGATGTCATCCCGGCACCACATCACTAAACAGTGCGAGGGAGCAGAGAGGAGCAGGAAGATCATAAATAGCCACGGGACCTCGGGGAGAGGACCCAGAGGACTCCTAAAGGTAGGAGCAACAAGCAATAAAATTAATTTGTTAGAGTGTGTGCAAGACTGTGTAAGGCTGTGTGTGTCTGAAAGTAAGTGTGTGTGTCTGTCAGTGTGTGTGTCTGTCAGTGAGTGTGTGTGTGTCTCTCGGTGAGTGTGTGTGTGTCTCTCAGTGAGTGAGTGTGTGTCTCTCAGTGAGTGAGTGTGTGTCTCTCAGTGTGTGTGTGTGTGTGTCTGTCAGTGAGTGTGTGTGTCTGTCAGTGTGTATGTGTCTGTCAGTGAGTGTGTGTGTCTCTGTCAGTGAGTGAGTGTGTGTCTGTCAGTGAGTGTGTATCTGTCAATAAGTGTGTAAGTGTGTGTCTCTCAGTGAGTGAGTGTGTGTCTGTCAGTGAGTGTGTATGTCTGTCAGTGAGTGTGTGTCTGTCAGTGAGTGTGTGTGTGTGTCAGTAAGTGTGTGTATGTCTGTCTGTCTGTCAGTAAGTGTGTGTGTATTATTATTATTATTACTATTATTATCGCCATTTATATAGCGCCAACAGATTCCATAGCGCTTTACAATATTTTGAGAGGGGGTATTTAATTATAAATAGGACAATTTCAAGAAAACTTACAGGGAGGATAGGTTGAAGAGGACCCTGCTCAAACGAGCTTACATTCTATAGGAGGTGGGGTGTAAAACACAATAGGACAGTAAGTGTAAGTGTCTGTGAATAAGTGTGTCTGTCAGTGTGTGAGTGTGTGCGTGTCAGCAAGTGTGTCTGTCAAGTAAGTGGTTGTTACATAGTTACATAGCCGAAAAGAGACTTGCGTCCATCAAGTTCAGCCTTCCTCACATATGTTTTTGCTGTTGATCCAAAAGAAGGCAAAAAAAAAAAAAAAAAAACAGTCTGAAGCACTTCCAATTTTGCAACAAACTAGGAAAAAATTCCATCTTGACCACAAAATAGCAGTCAGGTGTCCTTTTGTAGAACAGGTGCCCAAAATTGCACAGCATATTCAAGGTGTGGTCTTACCAACCATTTAAAAAGAGGCAAAATTGTATTTTCATCCCGAGAATTTATGCCCCTATTTATACATGACAAAACCTTACTGGCCTTAGCAACTGCAGATTGACATTGCATATTGCTGCCTAATTTGTTGTCTATAACAATTCCCAAATCCTTCTCATGTGTGGTTATCCCTAATTCACTACCATTTACGGTGTAAGTTGCTTGTGCATTCTTGACCCCGAAGTGCATAACTTTGCATTTCTCTACATTAAATTTCATCTGCCATTTTAGTGCCCAGTCCCCCAATCTATCCAAATCCCTCTACCGCAAAGCAATATCCTGCTCACATTTTATTACTTCACAAAGTTTTGTGTCATCTGGAAACACTGAAACATGGCTTTCAATGCCTATTTCAAGATCATTTATAAATATGTTAAAGAGAAGCAGTCCCAAAACAGAACCCTGAGGGACACCACTTACCACCTTTGTCCAGCCTGAAAATTTACCATTAATGACAACTCATTGTACTCTATACATAAGCTAATTTGCTACCCAATGTAACAGAACTCCCCGCAGTCCAACCGAGTACCTTCTGTTAATGGACGCTTCCTAGCCTGCGCTGAGGACCACAAGCACCGCACCGGACACCACAACCACCGCAGACTCCACAACCGCCTTGGCTTAACTGGAGTCTCGCCGTCTTCGTCCACCCTGGATCAACTTCTGTCCTCCAGGACCGAGAAGACCTCTCCTCCAGGAGAGCATAACAGGAACAAGCTCTTAAAAGAGCTAAGTTATTAAAGCTCAGGGGAGTATGCAGAGCATAGCAATCCCCAGTGTGAGTATAGCTGTCCCCTCCAATCACGAGACAAGACTACTTGTTGAGGGTGAAGAAGAACTGACTGTACTGGCACATACAGCCTCTTATTCACATTCTACAAACATAGTACTGCCCACAGGGTTTTGAAAAGCAACCAAGCAACACATTACAACACGGCTAACACTCCCATTCATTACATCAGAAATCCTCCCCTCTGCCTGTGATACAATTATCTCAAATTATCTCAACACGATAGACTAACTTAATTATCACAGGCAGAAAAATACAGTATTATAAAACAAATCACAGGGACCCCAAAACATGCAAAAACCCCATAAAAATCTGGGTGAACCACATATGCAAAATTCACCCAGATCCGTTCAGTAATTTGGAAGATACGGTTTAATGCAGATCCCGCAGAACATATACAGGCTATATGAAAAATAATTACTGTTAAATGTGTCCACTGTTCTGTAAAACTACTGAACGATGTCTTTGTGCACCAAATACTGGCGAAATGGCACCGTGTAGAAAAGTCAAAACAGTGTCTGTGAGTTAAAATGGCCATCATCCATTGTTCTCACCATGTGCTTCATCCATTGTTTTCACCATGTGCCTCTGATACATGAAATGGTGGCCACCCAGTAACTCCACAGTTTGTCTGGTAGTCTATCCAGCCGAACCAACAGATGAAACACATGGGGAACAGTGCAACAAACGAAGGGAATCATAAAAAATATGGACAATAGTCATATTTGTGCACAATCTCCAGTTTTGTCACAGGGCACAAATAGTGTTTTCAAATGCCATATATCCCAGGGCCATAGTCAGCGAACACGTGGCGAGGTCTGTTCCGCCACACCCAAAAACAAGAATAATCATCTAGACCAATTTCTTTTAGTTTGAAAACTAACCTATTGTGAGGAACCGTATCAAATGTCTTGGCAAAATCCAAGTAGATCACATCTACGGCAACACCCTGATCTATTCTTCTACTACTTTGTAGAATGCAATTAGGTTAGTTTGACATGATGTATGTTTCATAAAACCATGCTGATTATTGCTAATAATAAAGTTCTTCCTAATTAATTCCTGAATATTATCCCTTAATAGCCCTTCAAATATTTTCCCAGTCACAGAAGTTAAGCTCACAGGTCTATAATTTCCAGGCAAGGATTTTGAACCCCTTTTAAATATAGAAATGACATCTGCCTTCCTCCAATCCTCCGGTACAATGCCTGAAACAAAAGAATCTTGAAATATTAAATACAGAGGTTCACTTATTTCCCCCCATAGCTCCTTAAGTACTCATGGGTGAATACCGTCAGGCCCCGGAGCTTTATTTACATTAATTTTCTTTAACAGCAGTAGCACCTTGTCTCGAGTTATCCAATCAAAAGTTGTCTGTCAGTGAATGTGTGTATTTGCCTTTCAGTGTGTGTGTGTGTTTCTGCCTGTCAGTGAGTCTGTGTCTGTCAGGGTTTGTGTGTGTGTGTGTTATTGAGAATAAGTGCCAGTGTGTCTGTCAGCAGGGCCAGCCTTTGGGGTGTGCAAGCTGTGACAGGGCGCCATGACAACAGAGGCACCCGGCGGCCAACTCAGCTGGCAAGTTGGGGACACCAGCATATTCAATTTAAACAATTCCCTGGTGGTCCACTGGTGCACACCAGCACTAGGTGCAATCAGATCATATCATCTCCCTTGTGGTTCCGGCGCTCAGTTAGTGAGTCAGAGCTCAGGCTCAGAGATTCTCAGCCTGCGGTCTGACAACATTGAAAGTCGGAGCCACGAAGGAGTGGGTATGGCAAAGAGCTACTGATAAGCATAACATATATATCTGTTATTAAACCAGGAAAAGGTGGGCATGGACGGTGAGCTGAGTCAGAGGTGCAATGGGCCCCTTGACTGGATTTGCCCCCCAGGCCTACGGCTGTCATCCCTCCCCTGCCTAGAGTCTCAGTGTCCCCTAGTGTCTCCATGTCTAAATACATACACATACACAGACTGTTAAATACATACACTCACTTCTAAATACACACAGAGACTGCTGAATACATACACATAGAGTGCTGAGTACATGCACATGAACACTGCTGAATACACACACAGATAGACTGCTGAATTCATGCACATACAGACTGCTGAATTCATGCATACACAGACTGCTGACTTCATAGACACAGATTGCTGAATTCATACACACAGACTGCTGAATTCATACACACAGACTGCTGAATTCATACACACAAAGACTGTTGAATACATACACGCAGACTGCTGAATACGAACACTCACTGCTGAATACGTACACTCACTGCTGAATACACAACACAGACTGCCAAACTCATACTCACACTCACTGCTAGATACATACACACAGCAAGCAGCCCCCCTTGTTCCTCAACAACATCAAGGATCCAGTCCTGCAAAAAATGTAATATGTCAATTTTGAAAAGCCAGGATATGGATCCCATAAGAGAGAAGTTATAAAGACTGTAGGCTTTTCATGGCTCACAGCTGCAGTCTAGGAGCAAAACAACAGGTTTCAGACCTTTCATAAAACTGCAGGTTTAAAATCAGGACATTTGTCTTTGAGTGTGTCATATTAGAAACATGGTTCTCCTCTCATCATTTCCTAAAGGATAATGATAGTTTACTTAATAGATAAAAGATAAATTATTTTCTATAATGCTGAAACTGATGAGTCCCAGCTAGTTTCCACGAAAGGTCAAGTCCAAGTCCTAGATCACAAGGACTGTAAAGTTTATATGTTACTGGACTAGGATGTTTTTTTTCTAAGAGGAGCATATCGTCCCACTTGTGAACCCACCCTCATCCACCCCCACTTACCTGATCTGCAGGTTATATCCGCCTGCTGGCTGCACTCTCTGAGCTGCTCCCCAGCGGATTCAGTGAGTAGAGGCACGGATATGTAACCTCCTATCCCGGCCTCTTTTCGCACAACGGTATTACAGTGTGTTCTAAAATCACAGAGAAAAATATTCGGAATTTGTATTGCCAGTATGTTTGCAATACCAGCACCGGCCAGGTAGCCTGAAATACTGGCTGTGCTGGTAAAATACCGGCCAGGTGGCAACTCTACATACAGTAAAATAACAAAATGGAGTAAAAATGCTCAAATACTTGCTTACAGAAATGTGCAAGGACCATGAAGGCATTACTAGCAGTACAGCTTACTATAAATGGCAAAATAATGTAAATATAATGTATCCATAAATGCATAATACCCACATACGGTAAATACAGTTAAATCATATATTTCTAAAAAAAAAACACTCCTATGGCAATAAATATCAGTCTCTGGAATGCCAATGTAATGCTGATAGTGAAATGGTAGAGTCAATTTACTTCTCCCCCCTTCCTAACAGTAAGAATTACATGATCAGTTGAAACTTCCTGTATAGTTTGAAAGCATATGTACATGCTTCATATCAGTGACTAGAGGCTTATGGCAGATACATGTGTTTTTCTCCAGGCTGGTAATCATAGCTAGAGTATAAATTAGGGTAAGTGAGGCTTTATAGACTAGAACTAATAATGCAAAAAACATGAAAATGAATACATTTATACTCGATATTTGGAAGAGTTAAGCATCAAATGTTGTTGTATAATACTATTTTGATGTGATGTCATCCTTTGAATACAGAGCCATTAATTAAATATTGAGATAGCACAGTTGGTTAATCATTCTTTGCAGAATTTGTTCAGACAATTCTGCAGGTTATCTTCCCAGCAAGTTTAAGTGGTTACTTAAAGCACCATGAACACTTTAATGATTTTAAGTGGTCATGGCACTTGGAATGGGTAATGAGACTATTTCCACACAATTTAAAGTCCATCATTCTACAGTAAGAAATATTATTCAAAAGTGGAAAACATTCAAGACAGTTGTCAATCTTCCCAGTAGTGGACATCCCAGCAAATTCACCCCAAGGTCACACCGTGCAATGCTCAGAGAAATTACAAAATTCACAAGAGTTATATCTCAGACTCTACAGTCCTCAGGATGTTAAATTTTAAAGTTTATGACAGTACAATTAGAAAAAGACTGAACAAGTATGGTTTGTTTGGAAAGGTTGCCAGGAGTTGCCTTTAGCAGTGATGCCCAGTCCACACAGGCAGCCTCTGGCTTCAGAATTTTTTGTTTCAGGAAGCGGTTAGTGGTGCCGCTCTTTGGCTGAGAGCGGTCAGCTGACACTCTCAGCCAATTACTGACTACCCATTCATTAAACTGGCTTGGAAAGAAACTTATCTTTTCCAAGCCAGTTTAGTGAATGGGGAGTCACTCCGCTGGACTGACTCATACACATGCAGATACACTCTGACAGACACACTCAGTGACAGACACACACTGACAGACACACTGACACACACTCTCAATGAGAGGCACACACTCATTGACAGACAGACACCAAGAGGCACACACACATACACTGACAGACACACACTGACAGGCACACTCACACTTTTACACATTCTTGTACACACACACATTATTATTTTTTATTGTGGTTTCATTTTTTTAGGCCCATCCAGCTTCCCTAACTTTAGTATAGCTGGTGTGGGCCCTCTCCCTGGGGTCCAGTGGCTCCTGTAATCTTCCAGTTCTTCACAACTCCCTCGCATGCTGTTTAGTGATGCCAGGGCTGGAGTGACATCATATTCTGGCTACTGGCATCACAGCAGAGGGTGCGCGAAGGAGCATCGGTGCTCCCTTGCCACCGCTGCCTGCCTCCTCTCTTCCCCCTGGTATATTTTAGCAGAATAGGCATCTGCCATCCAGGTAAGCAGGTGCCTACTCTGCCTTAGTAAATCAGTGCCTGCTTCAGGGTGGTCCTAAGGTGGTCTGTTCACCATATCCTGGGCCATATCCTGGGCCACCTTACAGCTAAATAAATAGTTTTTGCTTTAACTTTAGAGTATGTGATGAATGCTCATCTACTTATGTTTATGGGATTTTGTGTTAACACATAGCAAAGGAGGGGGCGGGGTCTGACCTGCATGGCGGACAGAAACATCTTGAACAGGCTCCTGATCTAGTCTCTGATTTAACCGTGTTTATTGCCCCTCTCTCCCAACCTGCCGGACACTGGACTGATGCTGAATTCTACTGCTGCCCCTTTGCCCCCCTCTGGACTGGCGAGGGTGATCCCGGCCTACACCACAGAGGCTCCACAGACACGCTAACAGAGATCTGCACTTACGACGTTACCTCTGAAATAAAGGGCGCCCCATGCTCCTTTGACCCATGTGATGAGAAGATGGATATCGAGAGCAGGCTGGATGAGATATCTGACACCTTCTGGGCAAAGCTGGCTGCTCACATGCAGATTGTGACCCCAGATCTCAAGGCTGACCACACCCCTCACAGTACAGCACCTCAGAGAGAGGAAGAAACAGCTACTGGTCAGGCCTGTCTGGAACAACAGCACCAGGAGAGACCCATTTTGGCGCCATCTGAGCACAATCACTCCAGACACGGCGGTAACCAAGCCCTGAGCATACAGGCTCTGTGGGATGCCAGAACAGCTTGGCTGTTGCCAGGCAGTGCTGCATTACCTACTCACCCATGGACTATCATGCCTAATCCTAGGGACGCTCTCCCAAAACACCCCCTTCAGCCAGCAGGCCGATGTCTTACCCTCACAGGGCATAGATTGATCCTCAACATTCTCTATCTGTGTGGGGCAAGTCACTACAGTCATGTAATGCCTACCTGCTTCTGCTACAAATGTTTGTCATTTACTCACGCATAATTAAGCTAGCCTGATCACTTTAATGTAACTCTCTACTAATGCATATTTAGCCCTATATATAGGGTGAGGTAGAGGCATGAATGCATACAAAATTCAAAGTATGTGTTGCAGATACTCCACACTGAAGACCCAAACAGTGTATATACCACCAAAAAACAAACATGAATCATGCACATCTAGTATAGGTGTGCACACCCAGGTGCTACCACAATTTATTTGAGGACAAAGTTAAAGCAGAAAAACGTTTCGGGCAGCAGCCCTTTCTCAATGCTAATGTCCTGACATTAGCATTTTTAGCCCGTCTGTTTGCCTAGCTTTATGCAGTACATCTTGACAATAAATGCTCACTCTACGGATCTATACAATTGATGTGTTCATGCATTATGCGTCATTGTAATTTCCCATATGTATCACTGCACTACAAAAATAAAGAATTGAAAAAAAAAAAAAACATATAGCAAAGGAGTTCCATTCACTGATATTACAATGACATATACAGCTTCAGAATAATATACCTTAATATGCACTGTACACATAAAGGAAATAATAAACAGAATGGCAAATATGTCCATATAACTATGTTGGTTGTTCACAGAATTAGGGCCAACACAAAGTGCAAAGTATGTAAAGTGATTGTAGTTAATGCAAAGTGTGTATAGTTCATGTAGTGTGATTGTAGTGAATGCAAAATGTGTATAGTGAATGTAGTGTGATTGTGGTGAATGCAGAGTGTGTGAATAGTGAATACAGTGTTTGTAGTGAGTGCAAAGTGTTTAGTAAATGTAGTGTGTTTGTAGTGAGCGCAACGTGTGTATAGTGAATGTAGTGTGTGTGTGTAGGGCAAAGTGTGTTTAGTGAATGTAGTGTTTGTGTAGTGAGTGCAGAGTGTGTTTAGTGAATGTAGTGTGTGTGTGTAGCACAGATTGTGTTTAGTGTATGTACTGTGTGTAGTGCAGATTGTGTTTAATAAATGTAGTGTGTGTGTGTAGTGCAGAGTGTGTTTAGTGAATGTAGTGTGTGTTTTACAGAATGTGTTTAGTGAATGTAGTGTGCGTTATGCAGAGTGTGTTTAGTAAATGCAGTGTGTATTATGCAGAGTGTGTTTAGTGAATGAAGTGTGTAATGCAGAGTGTGTTTAGTGAAGTGTTTGTGTATGTAATGCAGAGTGTGTTTAGTGAATGTAGTGTGTGTGTGTGTGTAGTGCAGTGTGTTTAGTGAAGTGTGTGTGTGTGTGTGTAATGCAGAGTGTGTTTAGTGTGTGTAGTGCAGAGTGTGTTTGGTGAATGTAGTATGTGTGTGTAATGCAGAGTGTGCTTAGTGAATGTAGTGTGTGTAATGCAGAGTGTGTTTAGTGAATGTAGTGTGTAATGCAGAGTGTGTTTAGTGAATGTAGCGTGTGTAGTGTCGAGTGTGTTTAGTGAATTTAGTGTGTGTAATGCAAAGTGTGCTTAGTGAATGTAGTATGTAATGCAGAGTGTGTTTAGTGAATGTAGTGTGTGTAGTGCAGAGTGTGTTTAGTGAATGCAGTGTGTGTGTGTGTAATGTAGAGTGTGTTTAGTGAATGTAGTGTGTGTGTTTGTAATGCAGAATGTGTGTTGGTGAATGTAGTGTGTGTGTGTAATGCAGAGTGTGTTTAGTGAATGTAGTGTGTGTGTAATACAGAGTGTGTTTAGTGAATGTAGTGTGTGTGTGTAGTGCACAGTGTGTTTAGTGAATGTAGTGTGTGTAGTGCACAGTGTGTTTAGTGAATGTAGTGTGTGTAGTGCAGAGTGTGTTTAGTGAATGTAGTGTGTGTGTGTGTGTGTGTGTGTAATGCAGAGCGTGTTTAGTGAATGTAGTGTGTGTGTAATGCAGAGTGTGTTTAGTGAAAGTAGTGTGTGTGTGTAGTGCAGAGTGTGTTTAGTGAATGTAGTGTGTGTGTAGTGCAGAGTGTGTTTAGTGAATGTAGTGTGTGTAGTGCAGAGTGTGTTTAGTGAATGTAGTGTGTGTGGAATGCACAGTGTGTTTAGTGAATGTACTGTGTGTAGTGCAGAGTGTGTTTAGTGAATGTAGTGTGAGTGTGTGTAGTGCAGAGTGTTTAGTGAATGTAGTGTGTGTGTGTAATGCAGATTGTGTTTAGTGAATGTAGTGTGTGTAATGCAGGGTGTGTGCTTGTAAGGATACAGTGTGTGTGTAAAATAGAGGGGAGGGGAGTATTTTTTTTCCAAATTTATTTGTGTATGTTTAAATGTTATTCCCCTCTCTCTGTTTCTTACCTTGCAAGGGAGGGGTGAGATCGCATTCCCTGGTGGTCCGGTGGAGGGAGCCAGCCGCGGTACATTGCAGAGAGGGGGTCGAGCATGCTGCACGCTCTTTCTTCCTTTCCAGCTCCTCTCTGACGAACTCTCGCGAGACCAGCCTGCGTGCAGTGCGGAGCGTTGCCATGGTAACCCGTGGCAACACTCTGGCGGCAGCAGGAAAGTTACAGAGAGGAGCTGGAAAGGAGGACCGAGTGTGCTGCTGGGCCCCCTCTGCAATGTACAGATAGCAGGGGGGCCTCAGTGCACAGATATATAGCGAAAATCGCTATATATATGTGCACATAGGAAATGTGGGGCTCGGACTGCCAGCCATTATGGTTGTCATGCCCTGATGGCGGCCCTGGTAGGCACTATAACCATTTCATCTCAATGAATTGGTTATATTGCCTGGAGTCATTGGGCACTATCTCTTTGTTCCAATTTATACAATTATTTAGCAGTCTGTTAGTAATAAGGGTCCCTAGATACCCACAGCTTGGCCCCTATATGACATATTGTTTAGACAGAGACTACTCACTTCCTTCTAGCAATATCAATTCATGCTAGCAATGGGTGGTGTCACACTATCAGCCAATTACAGCTGCTCATTGCTGCTCAGGCTAATGTTTCCTCATCAGGCCAAGCAACACAGAGGGGATGCATTTCTTTTTGCGTTTGGCTGACAACAGGGTGTAACTGAATGAACAACTATTGAAATGCCTGAAGCCATGTTGTTTATATGAACTATGTATGTGTGGTAGAAATTTGGATTGCACATTGATAGAATCTAAATATAAGAGGTGGCACTAGGCATGGGGTGTCACAATACAAACATGAGTGCCCTCCACCACTCCCAGTGCACTGGGCATACACTCATAAATAAAAATCTACTTTTTTTTTTTTGTTTGTTTTTTTGTTTTTTGTTTTTAAACATCAGAAAGGTATTTATCCATTAAATGTTCTCTATTAACTCTGGATATCGAAGTAGACACCAATTCATAATTTGTTATATTTTCTATTATATTTTATCCTTTCTAAAAAAAAAAGAAAAAAATTCTTTAATTAATTTTAAACGTAAAAATGTAAGAAACGTCTCCCGGAAATATCGATATTATATCTCCATAATACTATATTGTCAATATAAGTAGCAAGGGAAGGAAAAAAAAAAAATATATATATATATATATATATATAAAAAAATAGTATTACTATAATCTAAATATATCTATACTTCGCCTGAAGACGTACTTATAAAACAGCGACGGACTACGCATACATATTACACACCATTCCGAGGCCCAGCAAGGTGTCAGTAGGGGATGGAACGTCATAATTATTCTCTTTTCACTTTTTTTTCCCCTCTTTTTTCCTTCATGTCTTTTTTTTTCCTTTTTATTCTATCCATAAGGGACCACTATATCCTACTGGTAAACATTTTCTTATTGGTTAGTGGTTACATCTGTTGTCCAAGGTTCCCAATTGTATGCATACGTATCTACTAGATCAAGATTTCTGTAGACTTGTTTTTCCATTAACTGCTGATATCCTATCTGGAATTCCACCTCACTCTATGAGGGAGTATTTACTGATTTCCAATATCTTGCTATGCAGATTTTAGTTGCCATTAATATATGAACAGTTAAGAGTTTTAAAGATTTACTTTTGGTAGGTATTTCCATGTGTCACAAAAACAATTCAGTAGAAATGTTAATTGAAGTTTTTAAAATTATATTAATTTTGCTTGATACTATTTGCTTCAATGGATTAAGAATATGACAATCCCACCCAATATGTTTCTGTGTTCCCTCATTACTGAGACATCTCCAAAAAAAGTCAATAAGGGAGTGACATCTTGCCACTTTAGCTGGAACCATATACCACCTATGAACTAATTTAATCTGTAGTTCATATAAATTTATTTAATGTATTGCCTTTTTAAAAAAATGTTTCCATTCACTGATCCAATGAAAACTCACTACCTATTTCATTTTACCATTTCACCATTGATTTAATGTTATCTTTATTATACCTTTTATATATAACCTTATTTATTTTTGAGACCATATTCCTTTTATGTTCTATTTCCAGCAGACGGTCTATATTTGAAGTATTGTAAATTGGGTTAGTTTGTATGAAGTGTTTGGTTATCAGCAAAAATCAGCACGGTTTTATGAAGCACAGGTCATGTCAAACTAACTTGATTGCGTTTTACGAAGAAGTAAGTAGAAGTATAGATCAGGGTGTTGCCGTGGATGTGATCTATTTGGATTTTGCCAAGGCATTTGATACAGTTCCACACAATAGATTAGTGTTCAAACTCAAGGAAATCAGTCTAGATGAAAATGATGGTTCTTGGGTAGAACATTGGCTTAAAAACAGAGTACAAACAGTTGTCATTAATGGTAAATTTTCAAGCTGGACAGAGGTGGCAAGTGGTGTCCCTCAGGGGTCTGTTCTTGGACCCCTTCTATTTAACATGTTTATAAATGATCTTGAAGACCACATTGAAAGTCATGTTTCAGTGTTTGCAGATGACACCAAACTTTGTAAAACAATACAATGTGAGCAAGATATTACTTTGCTGCAGAGGGATTTAGATAGACTGGGGGACTGGGCACTCAAATGGCAGATGAAATTTAATGTTGAAAAATGCAAAGTTATGCACTTCGGCGTAAAGAATACACAAGCAACGTATACCCTTAATGGAAGCGAATTAGGGATAACAACACATGAAAAGGACTTGGGAATTGTTATAGACAACAAACTATGCAACAATGTGCAATGTCAATCAGCAGTGGCCAAGGCCAGTAAGGTATTGTCATGCATGAAAAAGGGCATTCATTCTCGGGACAAGAATATAATTTTGCCTCTTTATAAATCACTGGTAAGACCCCATATTGAATATGCTGTGCAATTTTGGGCACCTGTTCTAAAGAAGGATATTATGGCACTAGAAAAAGTGCAGAGGAGGGCTACAAAATTAATAAAAGGAATGGAACATATCGGCTATGAAGAAAGGTTAACAAATTTAAACCTATTTAGTTTAGAAAAACGTCGCCTGAGAGGGGATATGATAACATTATACAAATATATTCGAGGCCAATACAAACCATTGTGTGGAAATCTATTCACAAACCGGACTTTACATAGGACACGAGGCCATGCGTTTAGACTGGAAGAAAGAAGATTTCGTCTAAGGCAAAGGAAAGGTTTTTTTACTGTAAGAACAATCAGGATGTGGAATTCTCTGCCTGAAGAAGTGGTTTTATCAGAGTCCATACAGATGTTCAAACGGCTACTAGATGCATACTTGCAAGAACAGAATATTCAAGGATATAATCTTTCAATGTAGGGTAATAACTGCTTGATCCAAGGATAAATTTGACTGCCATTCTGGGGTCAAGAAGGAATTTTTTTCCTAGCTTGTTGCAAAATTGTACTTCAAACTGTTTTTTTTGCCTTCTTTTGGATCAACAGCAAAAAACAAATGTGAGGTAGGCTGAACTTGATGGACGCAAGTCTCTTTTCAGCTATGTAACTATGTAACTATGTAATTCGAAGATATGAAAATTGTTCTTTATCAAACCCTTCTATTTTTGTATGAATCTGTTAAAATGTTTTTATATGCAAATCTGTATTTAATATATCAGCCAAGGTTATCAGACCGTTCTTCTTCCATATTTTTTTATATTAATATCCTCAATATATATCTGCAATATTTCTATAGGTGATTTTGTTAATTGTTCATTAAACCCTTTTTTTTTTTATTCTGCAAATTAGAAAAAATTTCAACAATTATTTTATTTTTAATTTCTAATTAAATGTCAGGAAATCAACCCAGTATAATAGTTTAAGATCAGAGAAATGACTGGATATTTGTTCCTGCTCTATCCACCTATTATCTTTATGATTATAATTATTCCATTCTAATATATGTGAAAGCATAATTGCTTCGTATATTTGCTGAATATCAGGGATTGATATACCACCATCAACAAATTTCCTAGTTATATATTTCAGTGCAATTCTCAAATTTTTTTTCCCCATAGATAATGCAATTTTTTTTTTTCATATTCCTTAAGTATATTCTTTGGAACTTTGATGGGAATGGTTCTCATGATGTATTCGAGTTTAGGTAATAGGTAGTGTCTGATAGCATTTGATTTTCCAATCCATGATACATACAAGTTGTCCATTTATGTAATGTGTCTTTTATTTCTCTTAGTAATGGATTATAATTGATTTAATTATTTGATTCCACTCAAAACTTATTTTTACTCCAAGATACATTATGCTCTCCTTAGACCAAATAAAGTTATATTTAGATTTTAAAAATAGACTTGTTGTTCTCGTAAATTCGTATATATTGCCTGTGTTTTTTAATGTTAATTTTATAATTAGAGATACTTCCATATTTTCCAATAATTTCCAAGATTACTTCCATTGACTCCCCTATTTCTGTTAATGTTAAAATTATATCATCTGCATATAATAATACCTTAACTTGTTTTCCAGCCATAGGGATCCCTTTGATTTTATCCTCTAATCTAATAGCTGAGGCTAGCGGTTCTATGCTTAATGCATACAATAGTGGTGCTAATAGGCACCCCTGATGTGTCCCATTATTTATTTCAAACCATTTAGATGAAATACTACTGCCCATAACCTTGGCTCATGGGGTCGTGTACAAACTCCAAATTAGATCATATATATATCCCTGAATTCCAAATGCCTTCAAGGCCCTCGACATCCAGAACCATAACTTCTGATGCAACATTATTATTTTGTATTAATTGAATCAGATTTAAGAGTCTAAGTACATTATAGGCTCCTTTCCTACCTATTATAAACCCAGTTTGATCTGGATGGATTTGAGTCGAAATAAAAAATTTTAGTCTATCGGACAATATCCTGGAGAATATCTTTACATCAATGTTTAATAATGATATGGGTCTGTAATTTGATACAAAGTTGGAGTCTTTCTCTGGTTTAAAAATTGGTATAATCAATGTCTGCAACATTTCATTAGGAAAAGATTTCTGAACTCTTACTTCATTGAACAGTTTGAATAACAAAGAAGTTATGGGTGTTAGGAATATTTTGTAAAAAAGCATCAGTAAGGTTGTCCGGTCCTGGAGCTTTCCCTTTTCGTAGTGTTTTTATGGCTTGAGTATTCTCTATTGTGGATATGGGAGATTCCAATTCCCTAGTCTGTTCTGGGTTTATTTTTGGTAGTTTACAGTTTGCTAAAATTGTGTGTATGTCATCGGTTGTGAATGAAGTCTTTGACAGATTATACAATGTTTTATAATAATGACCAAATGCTTTTCCTATATCTGTTGGAGATAGAAATTCTTTATCATTATGTTTTATCATTTTAATCTTTAGTTGTCTTTTTTAAAATTTTAGTTTATTAGTAAAGATTTTATTAGTTCTATTTTCTCCGAAATACCATTGTTGTTTTAATCTTATAATTGCATTATTTACTTTATTTGCTAATTTGATTTTAATTTCTGTTTGAATTTTTTTAATTCTATTCAATCTTAATATATTAAAGTATTTTTTATTAAGATCTTGTTATCTAGCTAGTTCTATATGAATATCTGTTAGATTTTTCCCCTGTTCTTTTTTTAATTTTGAGCATGCATAAAGCATTTGTATGTACACTATTAGATACTTATTTTAAACCATATTCTGACTCTAAAATAGTATAATTCATCCTCCAGGATGTCCTGCCTTGTTCGGCCAGCTTATTTTAAGTGTTATCGGTGCATGATCTGACCATGTTATGTTATCAATATTAGAATTTTCAAATTTCTCTAAACTAAGAGAATTTGTTACGTGTATATCTATCCTTGAGTATGTTTTATTGGCTTGAGAAAAATATGAATAGTCTTTAATATTTGGGTGTTGCACTCTCCAAACATCATATAAATCATATTCTATCAGGACATCCCAGAATGATTTGGCTTCGTTACTTGCTTTACAACTATAGTCTTTATTTTTAATGCTTAGAGTTCTATCCATTTTTGCATCTCGTGTTACATTCATATCTCCTGCTATATAGTTTATTTGCCTGTCGAATCCCTCCACCCACTTGTCCCCCACTCAACATGTATAACTACATACAAATGGCCCTGAACCCCTGAAAAGAGGAAAGAATCCCTTTCTTACATTAATCCTTGGACCGTAATCCACTGAATCCAACATTGTCTAGCTATTCCACTAACAAATTACTAGCTAGAACACAGTTGCCGGCATGGCAAGAGGGGAGAGGCAAAAGAGGATTTTTTTTAAATAGACATATATATAGTGCTGTCTCCGCTACATTTTCCTTAATCTTCCTTCCCTACCCCGCCCGATCCCTAATTCTCCATTTCTTTACCTTTTCTTTTTCTTTATTGCCCTTTCCCTGTATTACTACTTATCACCTCTAACGTGAACCATCATTTAATGTCTCATCTCTCTGTAACTCTTATGGTCCATATTTCTTCACCTACTTCTTGTGTGAATAAATATACAGTCATCTTCTATTACTATGTATCAAAAAAATAATTAATTTAAGTATTATATTTTTATAGTGTATTGACATATTTCTTAGTGCTAAAATATTATTACCCTTAGGGATGTGGTGCTTGCTAATATTATTTATCTTGTCCTTCTTTCTTTATCTCTTTAGTTTTGTGAATCAAGATTTGTGTACTAATTATTCTAATTTATATTTCCTCCACGTGCTTCATATGTTAACACTAGATTCAATTTCTATATTTTTTTTTATATGTATTAAATAAGTGTCCTTAAAGATAGGATATATTATAATGGAAGACCAGAGAGGGAAAGGAGGAAAAAATAAATACAAATAATAATTTCAATTTCTTCGCGGCCATCTTTAGTTTAAATTATTCCTAATTTTCCCAGATCTTCTGCTTGATCTGTAATAATTAAAGTCCTTCCCTTATGTGGGACTATTAATCTTGTGGCAAATCCCCATCTATACGGTATATTATTTTTCTGTAGCTGTGCTGTTATATCTTGGAATTTCTTTCTGGATGACCGTGTAGCTGCTGATAGATCTGGCTAGGTCTGGATAATCCATAACATCTTCTTTGGGTCTCGGATATCTGATCTTCTGTACCAATTTGTCTTTAATGAGGTAGTTTATAAAACAAACTATAACGTCCCTGGGTTCAGTGAAGTTGATACCCATCAGTTTTCGTAACCTATGCCATCTTTCAAAGGGGTTTTCCCCTATACGTTTTTTAAGGAATTGAACCACATATTCTTTGAGATAATTTTCCATGTTTTCGTGGTTTATATCCTCTGGTATGCCTTTAATGCGCAAATTGTTTCTTCTCGATCTATCCTCTAGATCTGTCAGTTTTTCTTCAAGAGATTCTATTTTCTTTTTCATTAAGTTATTTTGTATCTGTAACATTTTAATTTCCTTCTGTAGTTTTATGAAACTTTGATTTTGTGTTTCTAATTTTTCTTTTATTTCAATTACTTAATTTCTTAATTAAGCTGATGTTGCTTTAAGATCTTGTTTAATTTTTACATATAAATCATCTAACGCTACCATCAGGCTTTCTTGCAAGCATATTTTTTGTGCTGTTATACTTTCTGTTTCTATGTTGACTAGAGGGATAGAATCTTCTGGAGGAATAGATGTCCTTAAATGTTTTCCTAGTACATTAGAAGATTTTGGTAAATAAAATGTGTTTATCGTTTTTCCCTTTTCCAGTTTGATTAAGATTGTTTGTCCTTCTTGGGGGCCATTTTCTCTTTTTTCCCCTCTTTCTTTACCCCCTTTCTCTCCCTTCCCTCTTCCCTTCGCTTTTCCACCTCCCCTTTCCTTTCATTTTCCCTTTCTCATCCAAATTGATTATTCGTTTTCTCTTTGATTTTTATCTGTATATTATCTGTCTATTGTCTATTCTTTCAACAAACCTCTCCTTCCTCCTCCCTTATTTTATCTCCCTTTTTTTCTGAAAGTTAGTTCCAGGGGGCACTTGAAATTAACTTGAAATTACCTCCAGGTCTATTATCACCATGTTTAGTTATCTCAGATTTAAATTTACACTTAGCGTTTGTGTTCTGTCATTCGTCCGACGCCAAGGGACTTCCAAGACGTTGCGGCTTCAACTGCCATATGCCACACCATGATTTTGCCAGTCGGCTGTCAGGGCTCCCCAGTTGCGGTAAAACTCCTACGCATTTCTGCTTGCCTGTCACCCATCGCTAATTGAACAGAGAACTCCAAACTCGAAGCCGCCATTCTCCCTCTCTCTGTCTAGTTCAGACTCCCCTCGCACCTCTGACACGCACGTGCAGCATCCTTACTTCCGCACCCTATGTTATCACGTCTTTACTGCTGCCTCTTTAGCCACGCCAAATAAAATAAATAAAAATCTACTTTTGAAGCACAGGCAATTTTGCTGGCTGGAGTGGAATGATATATAATTTGAAAGGAGTGCCTGTAACGGGTGCCATCTTATCTTTTGGGATTAAACCATTTACTAAAATTAGCTGTGTACAGGCACTCTTTTATCCGTGTTGGTGCAAAGTATCGAGGTGGCCAAAAATACCTCAAAATCTACAAAATACAACAAATAATGATACTGCACTCAAAAAATCGAAATAAAGTTCATTGCAAAATTTAATAATCATTAATTAATTGGTGTAATTCATTAGTTATGAGCCACTGCAAGGTTAGAAAAATTAATGATATATACACACACATTGTTTCTACCAAACTATATTGGTTTACATCAGTTTGTACATATTATCAATTGAAGTGTGTGTGTATATATCATTAATTTTTCTAACCTTGCAGTGGCTCATAACTAATGAATTACACCAATTAATTAATGATTATTAAATTTTGCAATGAACTTTATTTCGATTTTTTGAGTGCAGTATCATTATTTGTTGTAAACCATTTACTAAACATTTAACCCCAAAGTTTTCCAGACGGCTACTGTCTGCTTCACTCCTTAATATGGAGTCCTTGGACTGGCCCTCATACAATGTTTGGATTGAGTTATGGTTATAGACTTATAGAGTATCAGCTCATATGAATCTGTTATGCTGCCTGGAGTGTTCCTTTAAGGGCCCGCCAAACCTGTTTCAGGACTATAGAGACATGCGGCCTGTGACATCCCTGATGTGATGCCCACAGTCCTCTTGAAGCTATATTTTTCCATTAAACTTATGGCTGACAATATTTTAGCTTTGCCTTTGATGGTATAGTTTTTAGTGACTAAGGGGGTCTAAGTAATCCTTTCACACAACATTGAGCTGTTTACGATATGCAGACTATGCATATTTCTTGCTCTCACACTTATTTCATTCATACCGAGCAAAGTGGTCCTGGTGGAGTAGACACAGATTACTCCTACAGATCCTCTCCTCTCACCTGCTAAAACAATGGCTATTGTAAGTGCAGTGTACCAGGTGTTTTAACTGCATGTGTCTGTGGTTATAAACTGTGATGGACATATGTGAAATAGGCATATATGGCTGATATGAATTGATGAGAGCCTTTCCTGTCCTTCAATAGCTATTCATTGAGGTTAAAATGGATTGAGGTTTCTACTGATTGGACACAGCACTGAAAGTGTTAAAATGTACTTGGATGATGCCTTGTGGATAACTCTAGAGTACATGCCTATGACCTTAAGGACTGGGCTTTCAATTTACGGGACCTGTAGAGCCAGCACGATTACTCATACAGTTCTTGATGTAAAAACTAGTGTTAAAAATTTCTTATTTCTGGCAATAAATTAGCAAATTCTATTAGAGGTTCCATAGTTTTCCATACAAAAAGATTATTCTCCCCAGTGATTACTTCTCACACCAATAAAGTCTCTTAACACTGGCAATAAAAAGACACAATTATCTTATATTAAAATACTAAATAAAAAGAGCATCAAAGACCTTATCAATTTCCAGGCTGCTCCACTCAATTTTGGCAATGATAGCTAACTGCAATCCTTCCACCTGCCCCTGCCTTTCCGATACAAGAAGCAAGGAGAGACATGTACAGTGCATCACTATGTAGGGCCACCCAGAAAAAAAACGTCCTGGAGTGTAATTTAGGAAGATTTATCTAGAAGGCTAGAAAAAGGAAAATTTGCTTCATACTTACCGTAATTTTATTTTTCTGATCATTATTCATGGCAGCATTTACTCATGGGTTAGCTCCTCCCCTCACAGCAGAAAGGACAGGAAATAGAACTCTGAAACTGGTATAAATAGATCCTCTCCCTTCCCATCAGGCAGTCTTAGTAACCAGCTTCACATCTTATAGTATATGGGTGGGAACGTAATGTTGCCATGAATAATGATCAGAAAAAGAAAATTACGGTAAGTATGAAGCAAATTTTCCTTTTTTCCTGACATTATTCATGGCAGCATTTACTTATGGGGAATACCCAAGCAGTATATATATAGAGGGAGGGACAGAGTTCAAAAAACAGCTAATAGCTATAAAACCATTTTTGAGCTGCATAAACCTTAGAAGACTTTAAAAAAGCAAAACAAGACATCAATAGGATGTTGTCATACATTCTGCTCAGACATGTTAATTAACCTAGAGGCTGCAAGGTCAGCAACCTCCTGGCATTCAATATCTGAAATATCCTGAATAATTATAGAGTCAGAAAGGAATTAGGGCCATGATAGCCTAAGTTAGAGAAGGATAATGTCATTTTGATATAAAATTTTAAACCAAATTGATGACCTCATCAGATCAGAACCTTGACAAAAGGCATAACAGAAGGTTGGATGAGAACAGACACATCATGCTATTAAACACGGGGAGAATTACAGAATCCTACTACTTTCTGGATGTAATTATTAATGACGATTCACACTGCTTCCTCTTGCCATGTAAACTACTTACCTGTGGAGACAGGAAACAAATCAATACCTGCCTGTCAGAAATAAGTGTTATTAAAACACTGCAATAACGACTATATATATAGTGGATGGTATAAACCAATGACATTACTAGGAAAAGGCAAGAAGAATCATATACAGATTAGTTAAGGAAAGAAAAAAGAGACATCGGTATGAACCGTAGAATTTGTGGCAACTCCTAAATTATAAGTAGGCCAATCACGTCAGTACCTACATTCAAAGAAACACTGTAAATAGTACAGATTATACCAAACAGTATAATCAAATTTATTAGAGAAAGTTGTGTAACATAAGTAAGAGATATATAATAGGCAAGATACTGATGAGAAGGTGGTAACCAGAGGCACATGATCCATTGTGGCAAAAGACACATAATAAGCAGGATAGTAGAAGATATTCAGTTATCCTTATGAGAACAAACAAACGCATATTTACTCTTACCTTATCTTCAGATAGTGATGAAGTACTTATGGCAGAGGCTATGGCGATAATAAGCAGTTTGTGTTATATGCAAGATATCAACACCATTACAAGTATATAATCACAGGTATTACATCCATGCAATGTTAGGAGTGACCATAACTTATACCGATCTTGGTAGAGAGACCATGAAAAACATATCAGTCAAATGTTTGTCCTCAACAAGCTGCATTACTTTATATTATGCAGGATAAATCAACCACTTAAAGTCACACATTGGTTGCAAATTCCAGATATAAGGACCCCTAGAAGAATCCCCATGAATATCAGAAGAGAGGATTGTAATGGAGTTACCTGTTCAGGGATTTCCTCTATTGTTCTGGTAGCAGGTGAATTTTACCTGAAATAGTAAACCTGGTAGAATGGCCTGGGGACTAGAAAGACCTTCCAGTGTCAATTAAAATACTTGCAATACAAAGCATCGAAAACTTACCTGGATCATATGAGCCTAAAAGAATACCTTTTATTGCAGAAAGGAACTTATAATATTCCCCTTCACAACAGGGGAATCTTGTCAGAAATTTCTGAACATTAATTCCTTAAGAACCAAAAGCATGCCACCAAAATAAAATGATACTAAAGTTAAGACCAGGAGAGAAACAAGCCAATATGAACAGCTTTTAAATCAGGTAATGGCTTCAGAGTTACCTACTTATGAGAACAATTAATAGCCAAATTTGTGCTCCTGCAACCAGCATGATCTACTAAGCTGTGCATCAGTTACGGCATATATCTGAAGGTAAAACACTGCCACCAAAATTGAAAAAAACATTCCCTATCTTGATAAGAGAGGAGAGGATACCTGGCAATAGAAAAACTTTTGAGAAATGGTCTCATGTATAAATACATAGGAGTGCCCACAAAAAGGCCTTAATTTTGTTAAACATTACTATGCTCCATTTTGGAAAATCAGGTCTCCTTCTCTCCTGGGAGGGGCACTCAGACAGGTTCAGTAACACCTGCAATCCATCCGAAGTGGTAAAATGTGTTAATTGCTTATCCTGAAACACATGTGGGAGAAGGAATCTAATACAAAGCCAAAAGCAGTATGTTTCCTTATCTACTTCATTTAAAAAACTGAAATAGAAAATCCACAGTAGGCAATAATTACTTACCCAGTACAACAGTGCATTTGTTTTTGCTAAAATGGGCTGTATTAAATTTCAGCGCAAAACAGACCTTGGATCATTTTATATATTAAATCTACCAAGGCTGTGAATAAATTGGGGTTTTATAATAATACCAACTTGCATACAGATTATATGAATCACATACATTGTGGATGTTTCTTAACAGCACCTTATGCACCGATATATCAGTTATATATATTGAGTCTGTTTAAACAGTAATCATACATCGCCTACCTCTGCTAAATACAGTGACACTGTGCCTGCACACATATTAAGATTATATAAGTGAGATAAATTGAGGCTGTTTTCAACAGAACTTCATGCACATATTACACCACTTATATATACTGAGGTTGTGACTAATAACCCACACAAAAAATCTGTATTAGATTGGACTCATAGAGGATGTGTCTTATATCATTCACATATATTGTGTTTCCACTAATACATCAAGCATATAGTGAACAGATACACTGAAGAAATGTCCACACCAATTTACATATAGAGCATGTAGAGGACATATACTGAGGCTATGTTTTCAGAGCAAATAAAGAACACAAACTGAGGCAGAGACTTCCGATCAACTCATACATAGACAATATAGTGGATACATATACTGAGGCTGTGTCTTCATAGTAACTCATACACAGAGCCTATAGTTTGTACATATACTGAGGCCGTGTCCTCACAGTAACTCACACACAGAGCATATAGCGCATACATAAACTGAGGCTGTGTCTCCACAGTAACTCATACATATGGCCTATAGTGGATACATATACTGAGGCCGTGTCCTCATAGTAATTATAATGTATATGACGCGTTTTGCCCATATCCTGCAATCTTCTAACCTAGACCTTAAGCCACCGACCTTTTGTTATTTTCGGGAATATAATGGCCCCTGAAATGTAAATTCAAGTTTTATTATTTTGCCAGTTCATTTTCTGTTATTACATGTGTAGAACAGTGGCACTTACAGGTGATTTTTCCCAACAAGCTTTGCCAAAATTTGAAGGTTACGGCACAGAACCCATCTGTACATATTTAAAAAGTGCAGATCTAGTGAGATATAGCAGGAAAGTATTTAATATGCCTTGTAGATTAAATGATAAAGTAAAGCTCCTATTTTACTCATGGAGATCTGTGAAGCCGCTACAGTCCCTACAATATCTAGATTAAGAATTAAATCCGTAGCTGCAACAAAGCATGCTAATAAATTGATTGTCCCCTACACTGGAATGGCACAACAAACTATAAACTCCATATAGTGCCTGGGACATAAAGAACATGAACTACAAATACGACTCACTTAATTTATCAATACAAATATATACTTTCTCTTTAAATGTCTATTATAAGAACTTCACCTTCCTGTAACTGTAACTGACATTAATTATGGATGTGGTTAACTGCAGGAGCAACTTAACAATAACCATCACTGCCCACAATAATCCTGTCCCTGTGTTTAGAGGGATAGAACTGGTGTGTGACTCAATCTGTGAATAACAAAACAATTACTACACAGGGCCCCTCTCCCTCTGGCCACAAGCCTGCTTATAATTAAAACATCATCAGTTCTCTTTTACATTTTAGTACATACTTGTGAACATCTTACGTCAGTTTATATTAAGTTGCAGATGAGAAGAGTTCCGCCAAGCTCTCTGAAATAAATCACTCAAAGCCAAAATTCTGGATTTAGCCTGCTGCTACCACAGCATACAACGTATATCCTTGCTGCCAAAGTGGCTGCTTTTATATGTGCTACTATGCACTTTTTCCCCTACTCTAGATACACTGTGAGGTTATATTTCCATTAGTGTCCTCACTATTCTTCTAGCAATCTCGTTTACCTTCTTACCTTTTAATTCAACCATTTCTCCAAGTGACCATCAACATATCAACATCTGACCTTTACTTCAAATCCATTCATTTGTAAATACTGCAACAACCAGGTACTTGTGTGCAACTGCAAAGAAGTGACCTTTTTTGCTTCTGATAAACATTCCCACCTCTTATTTATCAACAGCTGTCACTTGAATTGTGGAAGTATCCTATCTTTACTCAAAATTCTTATCACACCCATCCCATAGAAACCTGTAAATCCCTAATTTCTACGATGTGTCTCGTCTTCTTGATTCAATTCCTTTGCTTTAATTACATCTTGATCATAGTCAGTCTGGTATATTGGTCATTTTCACTCTGCAGAAATCACTTTAATGTAGGTAAATTTATTTGAACTCTGAAAACCTTTTTTCCTACAAATTCTTCTCGACCTGTTTGCTGCTGTTGTACGTGGCTAATCACTATTTCTCTTAAGCAACACACTCCATTCCGTAGGTTTCTGTGATGCTGCATTTCTCTAGCTTACATAATACCTATCCTACTGTAGTTCTGCATCATGGTCTAGAAATGCACACTGGTCTTTCCATCTATTCTTTATAGATGCACACGATGGATAATTTCTTGGTCTGCCTTTGTTCTCTTACTTCAACTCTAGACATCATGGATTTTTTTTATTCTAGTGGCTTCTAAATTTTTATTATATCCAAAACAATATTTAATGTTTCTCTTATGTCCATTTATTGCCTGCCTCCAGTTTTGCTGTCTCAGACGATAAACTTTGCTGTCTCCACTTGGGTTTGGCATGGTAGGGTTTGTAAGACCGCAGCATGTAATAGGACAGAATCAATTGGTTTTAACACATTTTTATTTCATTAAAAAATATATCATCTCCCTAGCAGCCCCCTTATTTTTAGTCAGGGCTAGGCTATTCACTGAAGTGAGAAATATCAGGAATTCAAAGTGAATTCAATATGAAATTTAAGTTTAATGCCAAAGTAGCCAAATTGAAAGAATAGTTGACCTGGAGATTTTTTCTAGTACAGCTATCTGGCCTCAAATTTTTAATTCTCTTTGAATTCCCAACAGATCTTACTTTAGTGAATAACCCTGTTAGTCCATTTCATTCACTTTAGATACCCTCAGTACCTAAAACCCCTTCTTTAATTTTAGGATCAACTCCCATCCATACACACCTGTTATTTTAATTATGAATCTTGCTTCTTTCCTTATAGTGCTCACTTACATTTTTAATAATCCTCATGCTCCTCTCTATAAAAACAACAACAATTACTCATCATGCCAACATAAATTATTTCATCTAAGTATCCTTCCCTTCCTAACATTAGTTTCTGTCTTTATTATAAGCAATCGCTCTAGCAATCCACCTCTTGTGGATCATCCCTTCCTCCTATACATTTTTGTCTCCATTCAATAGTATCTTTGTCTCCATTCAATTATTATAGACCACCTATACAATATAGACCCATTAAATACCCAACCATTTTCAATAACTTCCCTCTCACTGTAGATTTGCTTCTCTTCACTTGAGAACACATTCTTCTAAGGATCCCTCTCTCTCTTAGAACATGTGACTTCATTATGTAAGTCTGTCTCTACCTGTACGTACTTCTTTCATTTTAGAAATCATTAGAACTTAATTTCATTATAGGTCCCCCCCAATGCAACATCTGCTGCAGTAGACCCTCTGGTCCGTTCAGCACCCATTGTTTTATATAAGGAATCTGTATCTCTAAGTATCCACTCCCTTTCTTACAGGTCATAATCCTTCACATTAGGGCCCCTTTTCTAACACTGTTTTTCTCCATTACTTTCACACCAGATAGTAGGTCTTCCTGTGCCATCTTTTTTTTTTTTCTGTGCAGATGACCCATAGTGATGCTTTGTATTTTGCTATGGGATATAGGATAACAATGCACTCTGGAACATATGATAAAAACAGTTTTTGAGTCAACATTCAGAACTCTGCCAAGCCCAACTGCCAATCAAAATTTAATAAACTATATAAAGGCACTTATGTATGGTGGATATTAGATCTTAAGTTGTCAAAAAATAACACATGCTATAATTAGCACTCATATGAAATTACCACAATATCAGTTGGAGGAAATAGAATGGAGCAGGTATTGACTTCCTCTTGTGTATTTTTAGAGAACTATAATAAACACTGTTTTGAGTTTAATTTATTCATATTTTTTTTTTTATTAATCCAAGCATATAGTGGACCAAATCGGCCTTTCAATAAAGAATTTGAGAATACCTTGTATCAGAGTCACTTTAGCTAAAGCACTTGGAAAATGTGGTAACCTGACCCAACAGGTGAAATATGAACAGAAGTAATCATGCAGTATATGCAAACTAATAACTTTGCTATGTGTCAATAAATACTGTTTTAGATTTAAAGTAGGAGTCAGAATTACATTTCTTTTAACAACCTAAGAAATGTACCACTTCTATTGAAGAGGTCACAAAAACTGGGGAATACCATCTCTGACAACCTCTGTTTCAGCTCAGACTCCACAACAAGCTAAGATTTCATTGATTGTGAGTACCTGGTATTTTTAATCTAGGCCTTAGCCCCTTAGAGTCTGCTGTCAAGTTGAGGGTCAGCAGTATCACAAGTTGAAAAGGATGGATGTGGCAGAACAGTTCTGCAAGAGGTATCAGCTTAAGATGCCTCAATAATGCATTGGTAATCCTAAAGATGAAGAATATTCTGACTACCTACTACAATAACAACTTTGATAACTTGGTAGGAGCTTTATACCTGGAGATTATAATTATTATTGTCTCTACTTGTTTGGACATAACCTAATGCTAAAATTCACCTGTAAAAATATCAACCTGTCAAGAAGTACCAGCCTATGGGCAGGGAAGTAATTACATCCAATGGAAGTAGATGTCCTATTTTGAGCCATTGAACATATTAGAATGTGGCCTTATGTTTCCACACTGGGGTAAAAAAAGTATCCATATATTAATGAAACTGTTGCAGTATCACCAGCAGTAACATCTGGAAAGGTCAATAAATTTTGCATAAAAGACATAGTTATTGCATTGGCTGATCTGGTAGGAACATCAAAAACTGTACTGCACTACTATCCAGGCTTTTCATAGTTACTCGCTACTGCATGCCTGAAAGGTCCATGATTCACTTACCAGAAATTAATTTCTACTTGCCAGGTTGGAGTTTCCACTCGTCATTGGCTACTAGCGACTGGAAACTTTGAGCCCTTTGTATATTGTGCACTTCAGTTGTATAAATTTGAGACCATACTAGGTATGACTGATGGGACTTGAATATACTACAACTAATGTGTATTAATCAAGTACACATTGCCCAGATTGCTGATGTGTTCACAATTCCTTATGCACTGATGTAAGACTGTAAAGGTCTGATTCATATTTTTTTTCTCTTATTTTATGTGTTTTTTTAAATTCTTCTTTTCATCTATTTTGTTTATTGAGAACATTATGATTGTTATATCATATTTATGGTTATTACTAGAGATACCAGTCATAATGATTTGTCGATTTATCTTTATGAATGTAACCTAATTATTTAGAATGTAATAATAATAACAATAGTTCCTTATGCACTGGAGATGTCATAACAACCCAGAGTTGGAGGAATAGAATATCAGCCTCGTAAGAAAATGAATATACTGGGGAAATCATTTATCTAGCATCTACTATGTAAAGATATAACTATTCACCATGGTTAACTTGTACATCAGTTAACCAAGGTAAAGAAATAAAGTACCACCATCAATTCTAAGTATTAATACAGTCCTATGGATTTCATGTGGTCTCCTACAAGATTAGCATAATCATTAATGTGTTCGCAAATAGGAATAAAACTGCCAACCAACAATTAATATTTTCCAGAAAATATTTTATTTAAAGCATCACTATAGGCTTTTTTTAGCCAATCCAATGCTTTCCCATAGGCACGGGGCGGGGCCAAATGCTGTTTTGGCCAATCAGGACCTCCTCATAGAGATGCATTGAATCAATGCATCTCTGTGACGAAAATTCAGTGTCTCCATGCAGAACGTGGGGACGCTAAACGGCAGGGCTGCTTACGGTGCAGCACTGAGCCAGGCCAAGTGGAGGAGTGGCCACTTGGAGGTGTCCCTAGGGGCAATGTAAATACTGCCTTTTTTCTGAAAAGGCAGTGTTTACATGAAAATGCCTGAAGGGAGCTATTATACTCATTAAGCTGTAGTTGTTCTGGTGACTATAGTGTCCCTTTAAGATTTCTGATTGAACATAAGACTCAGTTTTGATAAATAAAAGAGCACTGAGATAAGTGGATAGAGGACTGTATTAGATAATGGACATTGTACTCCTGTGAGAAGAGCTCAGGCAAGGTTCAGCTAGAGTCTGGGGGAAAACATTCCTTGCTACTAAATTTAAAAAAATAAAATAATCATTAAAAGCATAGTAACTTATCTTTAAGAACAAACCCTGGTTTACTAGATACAGTAATCAGGATTGTAAACATTCCAAGGGGTGTTTGAACTTTTCATAACCTAACCTTGTTTCCTCAGATGATTTGTGGAAATACTGTTTGAGAAGTGGGTCAATTCTGAGAAGCTATTTGGGCAGCCTCTTGCAGAAGATTTTACCTGCTTAGTCTTTACTCAAATGTTTCCTAATTAAAAGAAAAATAAATCAGGAATTTAGTAGGTATTGCATTTTGCTTTGCGTTGCTTTGGTTGTTATGCACTGTTTCATATATCATGTTGCCTACGCATTGGTTTTATTTAGAAATGAGTCAAGAAGATACTGAGTTGTCTTCATAGTCTAGGGAAATGACTTAACTTTTCAATTTGGCTATCTAGTAAAAGACGCAAGAAAGAAAGAATAAAAAGTACCTGCAAGATAGGACAGGAAGTTTGCATTCCCTCATTCCCTCCCAGTTTATCTTCTACTTCTTTCCGCTTGCCTTGTGCTATCCCTTATACACAATAATACTATATCCTCTGGTGTTGTACCCACTACCCCAGGGGTAGGCAACCACTCGAGGTGTCTTTGCACAGCACTCAAGGCTGCCAGAGCCAAACAGGCTCTGGCCTATTAGGAGTCCCAGTGAAACTTCAGATATCTGCTAATACGAAAAGGTGGTGAAGGACAATCCTCAATTTATGCATTGCAGCACATAGAAGAAGTGATCTCAGAATGGGAATCCACACTGTAGTAGAGCAACCCACAGCTGCTGGTGCAGCTCCTGTCCTTGACCTGTACCTGACGAGCCTGGCCACACTGGAGGAGAAGCCACCCAGACACCTAGATATACACAGAAATGCAGAATAACCCTGCCCTCATACAAATAATATGAACAGCCCACACACAAACACACAATCCGCACAAACTCAACACCACTAACAATCCACATACATGCACACAACTCCACATGCAGCCTCTCACATGCAATACCCCAAATAGCCCCTCACATATACACTACCAAACACACAATGTGACCTATCCATCCACACACACAATTCCACAAGCAGCCACCATACACAGCCCACATTCATAGGTACCACAACACCACAGACTACTTGTGAACATATACACTATAGCAGCTCATACACGCACAAATACAACAATACAAAGCAACTGCAGTATAACTATCACAAGCAGAATACGGCAACATACACACCGCAATTTAAAAATATAGGACTGGCTCACTACGGGACATCACAATCTTTTTTTGGCACAGTGGTGCTAAAAGGTTGCCTACCCCTGCACTACCCTTAAACAAGCTTTTGTCACACCTGTTTTAAAAAGCAGTGTCTCCACCCGACTGATACTTCCAGCTTTCGTTCTATACCCCTACTCCCTTTTACCTCAAGGCTTTTTGGAACAACTTGTTTGTATCTACCTGACCGATTTCTTAACTTCAATCTGGTTTTCACTGTATTCTACAGAAGCTGCTCTAACTAAAGTGACTACTGATCTAATTGTGGCTAAATCCACTACTCCATACTAATTCTGTTTTACTTCTCCTGCATTTACACTGTTGATCACACTCACCTTCTTCGCACCATCAGTCTTTGTGAAACTGTTCCTTCCTGGTTTTAATCGTTCTTATCCTGTCACTTACAACACTTCTTCATTATATCCTTTTCTGGCAATACCTCCCCCTTGAGTTGTCTAAGTAGGAGTCCCTAAAGTCTTTGTCCTTGAGCCCAGCAGCAGAATTGCTGGCGGTTCAGCCAGTGAGGCCACAGTTGGGCCCCACAAGCTGGGAGGCTCATCAGCTGGCCCTCTCACTTAGGGCCACCCAATTGATATATTTGATGAAGGGCTGGCAAGGCCCTTCAATAGTGCACCAGACTGGGTCCATGTGAGATCATTATCTTCTCTGTGCTTACACCTAGAATGCAAAAAGCTGTGCAGGTAGGAAGAGGAAGAAGCACTGAGAGGGTAGGGGAAGCCTTCTGAAACTCAACAAATGGGAACAGGAGGGTGGCAAAAAATATGTAAATAGTAACTTGTAAATGTGTGTGTGTGTTAGTGTGTATATGTATCGTTGAGTCAGTTTATATATCTTTGTCAGTGTGTGTGGCTGTGCATATATCCCTGTATTCAAACTCCAACACAAGATACAAATTAACCCCTGCAATGAAATAGCGACACTACATGCAAATACACCCCTGCATGCAAATATCAACCCTACAAACAAATATAACCCTGCATTTAAACATTACACACAAACAACCCCCTGCATTCAACTTACAATACTACAAACACACCCCTGCATTCAAACACCAATAATACACACAAATACTACTTTGCATTCAAACATCAACAGTGCACACAAACACATCCCTGCATTCAATGTGTATGTGTATCTGTGTCAGTGTATATATATATATATATATATATATATATATACATGTGTGTGTATCTGTGTGCATGTGTGTATCTGTGTGAGTGGTAGTGCATTCAAATGCACACACTACACACAAACACACAACTGCAATCAAATGCCAGTTCTACACACAAATACACCCTTGCATTCAAATACCAACACTATGCACACATAAACCCATTTATTCACACACTCCATACAAAAAACATGCATACACTCAAACACACAGACACTGCTCACAAGTAAAGCCCTGCAATATGGACAAAGAGTAGAACCACAGCTGGCAAAGCCTTGTATGAATTTTAGGATAGTTGAGGATCTACCTTTTGTTCACCCTTGCATTAGAGGGGAACCAAACAAAAATGTCTTTCACAAGCCATCTCCCTACATTAGTTCTGCAACTACTAGACCACATTCTGTTAGTTCCTACGAATTCAAGATACATACTGATACACTTCTTACCTGATTTTTAAATACTCAATCTTTCTTAAACTGAGCTTCTTATCTTTATAACATGAGTTGTCCACTGTCCTTCTCCTTGCAAATTGATTGTTGCCCATCTGCCCATCCTTTCAAGCTTGCTGCATTGGTATTATCTTTGACTTTGGTCTTACTTTTACATGCATGCAAATATCAACCCTACATACAAATATAACCCTGCATTTAAACCTTACACACAAACACCCCCCTGCATTAAAACTACAATACTACAAACACATCCCTGCATTCTAATGCACACACTAGACACAAACGCACAGCTGCATTCAAACACCAATATTACACATAAATACTACTTTGCATTCAAAGACCACACCTTGAGTATGCTGTGCAATTTTGGGCACCTGTTCTAAAGAAGGATATCATGGCACTAGAAAAAGTGCAGACGAGCTACAAAATTGATCAAAGGAATGGAGCATTTTAGTTACAAAGAAAGGTTAAAAAATGTAAATCTCTTGTTGGGAGAGGATCAATCAAAATGTCTGTTAAAACTAACCTCCTTACAAATTTAAAGGGAAATAGTGTTGGATTGGCCATACTTTGGATAATATAAGATATACATTTCTGCTCGATATGTGGTTTCTCCTCTCTCCTTTGCCACATTGTTTGTATATGTAGATATGTAAATTAAATGTATCGTCTTGTTTCTAGTTAAGTGAAATGTATAAAGAAATTTTCCACGGATTTATTTTTTTTCCAAATGGAAGTAACGTTTCCTACCATTTGTATGTAATTGTTGTATCGTATTGTCTTTCATAAAAAAAAAAAGGGGAAAACCTTTTCAATAAAAATTATTTAAAAAAAATTAATTTAAATCTCTTTAGTTTGGAAAAACAGCGCTGCAGAGGGGATATGATAATGATAACATTATACAAATATATTCGGGGCCAGTACAAACCATTATCTGTAAATCTATTCATAAACAGGGCTATACATAGGACACAAGGTCATGCATTTAGGCTGGAAGAAAGGAGATTTCATCTAAGGCCAAGGAAAGGTGTTTTTTTTACAGTAAAAACTATAAGGATATGAAATTCTCTGCCTGAAGAGTTGGTTTTATCAGAGTCCATACAGATGTTCAAACAGCAATTGGATAAATACTTACAAAAACATAAATTACAGGGATATAATTTCTAATTAGTGGGGTAATAGCTGCTTGATCCAAGGAGATATCTGACAGCTATGTTGGGGTCAAGAAGGAATTTTTTCCTAGTTTGGTGCAAAATTGGAAGCGCGTCAGACTTGTTTTTTCCCCTTCTTTTGGATCAACAACAAAAACATATGTGAGGAAGGCTGAACTTGGACGCAAGTCTCTTGTCAGCCATGTAACTCTGTAACTATAATACAAAGCTCTTAATAACTCTACTCCTGTCTTCATATTTTCACTAATTCATAGGTGCTCCCAACTCTGCCAGTTCTGTCCTCTGTTTGACTTTTAACTCTTTTTCATACATAGCCTGGGATCTACAACTTCTTTAATAGTTTTCTTTATATATAAAATGAGCAGTATTTTGTCTACAATACGGGGCTGGAAAAAAGAACTCTGCTTCCAAAATTTGGACAATTACCACGGTTGGCTTGAAACTGTTTCAATGAAGCTTTCTTTAAATAGTAATTGAGTTTGATGCCTATCTCTGATGTTGTTGAAGTTTATTATATTTATAGCTTCAATCTCTTAAGGGAATTTGTGCAGTGAATCATCACACTTAGTTTAATTTCCTCTCAGGATTATACTTTGCCATCTTCACGCTATGATTTCATTTCTTTTGTCATATTGCAACGTTTATGTATGAGAAAGTGGTTGTGTCTTTTCCTTCCAGGCATGTCATATTAATATAATTTATTGTTAAATTAAAAAGAAACAATATTTCTGAACTGGGAGAAGTGAAATAATAAAAGGGTAGATTGAATGTCACTACCTAGAGCCCCTTGTAGAATTGTTTTTCCTTATGCTTCATGATGTGCAATGGGTGCATCATGTAATCTGATCTGTATGTTATCCTCCAGAAAAACAATGAAGGAAAAATATACAACTAGGTCTTTTCAGCAGCATATAGTAGACACAAGCATACATCTGCGCAAAGCGTGACAAAGAAAGGTTAAAATAACATTTGGGGATGATCTATTAGGAAAATACAACAGTTTGGCTTTGAAGTAAGATTGCTATCAGAGGCACCATTACTGAACATAAAAAGGTACCAGCAACCTAAAAAGAGCTATTATATCAAAAATCTACTGACCAGGATGAAACATCATAAAAGATATTAAAAAAAAAACATTTCTGGAAATTAAATGGGATGGCTCTAGAAGAGGGTAGTTATGGAGCAGTTATATTTTATGGGTAGAAAATTAGAAAAAAATTGCTGATAATTTATAAGGCTTAGTAACTTGCCTGAATTGTAGTCGCCAAGTCAAGAATATCTCAATTGTGTCTTAGCTCACTTGTCATATGACATTACTCACAAGCCTATATCCTTAACATGCAGACTTCCTATCCGTGAGAATAATCCAGAACGTAAATGCTAAGAGGCACAGCAACCTTCAGATAATCATCTTGGCCCTTCCCAAGACTAAACATGGTTATACGGTACCCCTTTATGCCATCGTGTTTATTGAACTACAAATATCAGTGGAATATATTTAATGCAGATATTGCACCATCATAACCAGGGCTCATATCTACACTAACGACATAGATACAACAATCAAGGACATTCTAATAATATACAGAATGGGGTTCTAATGACACTCAGTTGCTACCCCTGACAGTCAGGAGATACTGCAACACAACCAAATAATTATAGGAATCGAAACAAACATTTTTTAACCATCAGACCTTTTTTGGTATGTAGGCAACAACTCATCATCCACAACTATCAGGTAACAACTTGTAAATCCCAAAGTATTTTATTTGTTACTGAGCACTATGCAATGTACTCTGTAGCGCTTACCCAATCTTTCAAATGCTTGGATGAATCTGTTTCACCATATGTTATGTTGTAGATGCATATATTCTCCCACTTCAAACAAGTATGCGAATGTTCTGTTCAAAATTTCCCATGCAGGATAGGTGCTAACAGCACGGGACTGAGTTAGGAGCAGTGTGAAAAGATGTTAAGCAGATCACCCAATTCTGCAGGGCTTCATTATTCAGCTGGGCTATTTCAGGTACCTACTCTTAGCAACTACAAGGATGTGCTTGAAGCATTGATATTTAAGGGAATTGCAGGACTGTGTCATGCTGGACAATAGTTACATTATCACAGCTAGTAGGTCTTGGAATATAACATCAGTATAAGTATGTATAGGTATAAATGAAGAATGGTCTGTGTATTTTCATAGTTTGTTTTAATTCTGCTTCTGCTTTGGATAAAAGCACATTAGGACCATGTATTACTTTTCTTGGTAGGTTCTAATATGAAATATTCCTTTTATTTGTAAAATCTCATTATATTTCCAATATTCTGTTCCAAAAAAGTATTTGAAAACAGGCACAAAAGCTATTTTTCGTTAGATATTACAATGAAAAGCTAAAATATAAAAAGTTGAGTAGGTCTGTAGAGATCAAAGAATCTGTATACAACACAAGGATAAATCTCCTGGGCTGCACAACTTCTGCTGAAGGTTTTTCCATGTGCAGCATACATGGCCATAACCCTAACAATTGACCAGACCTTACATTATAATGTGTGATAATTTTTGACTTAATGACATGTATTATTTTATTACAGATCAACCAACCATCTTTATTCATTCCACTTATATATATTTATTTTTTATTTCTATTTCAGATTTCTCTATCCCATACAGTGATGTCATGGGTGTAAAGAAGTATCCCTTACTTTTTAATGTTTCAGTACCTCACCACGAGATAATAGTCATGGCTGAACTTAAGCTGTACATGCTTGCTCCAAAAAGCAGTGTGATATATGATGGAGCAGGCAGGAAAGTAACCGTTTATGAAATACACATTGATGAAGAAGACACAAGAAAGGCAGTGGAACTGTCTTCTAGATTGATTTACAAAACCAGCAATGAGTGGGAAATGTTTGATCTTACAGAGGTTGTCCGACGCTGGAGCAAATCAGATTTTACAACCCGCATACTGGAAGTTCACATACAAAATCCAGAAATTGACTTGGAAGATACTGGAGAAGACAAATTAGATATTGATGTTAAACCAGAGAGCAGGCATGAACCCCTGCTTGTTGTCTTTTCAGATGATCAAAGTAGCGAAAAGAAGGAGGAGAAGGAGGAACTAAATGAAATGATAAGCCATGAGCAGGCATTGGATGAGAATGTGGAATTTGGAGGACAAAATAACATGCCCAGTGAGGAGTCCTTGCTACAGATGAGGTCTAACATCATCTATGATGCCAGTTCTCGAACCAGGAGAAATGCAAAGGCTAACTACTGTAAAAAGACCCAACTGTACATTGACTTCAAAGAAATTGGATGGGATTCCTGGATCATTGCACCATCTGGTTACGATGCATATGAATGCCGAGGCGTATGCTCCTACCCACTAACGGAACATGTCACACCAACCAAACACGCTATAGTGCAAACACTGCTTCACATGAAGAATGCCCAAAAAGCAAACAAACCCTGCTGCGTTGCCACTAAACTAGACCCGATATCCATCCTCTACATGGATGCTGGAGTAGTTACTTACAAGTTTAAATACGAAGGCATGGTAGTATCAGAGTGTGGCTGCAGATAGTACTAGTGGAAGGCTTGGTAATGGTGCCTTGTCTTGTAAATTTGTACATTTTGTATGTCCTTATTTAAAGAGTTTATTTAAGAATGTGTGTACAGATAATATATGGGTTTTTTAAATGCTACTATTTGGGCCATCTTAAACGCGGTGCAAAGTAATAAGGCACTATCTATTCTATTTGATTTTTGAGCTACGGGGTGTTCTATTGCTTTGCAGAGCAAAGTAAAAAAGGCTCTCCAACCTCTTCACTGCTGGTCACGTCATCTCTAAAGGGGTTTAACTGCAACAATGTTTCCATGGAGGTAACAAGGCACCCGGCAGCTCATAACAAGACTGATCTCTGCTTTAAAATGCCATGTTATTTGGGACACCATTGGAAATTTGGTACAAATGAGTGGGGCTAACATGTCATATTGTTGTCACTGCATTTAAATTGAACATAGAATGTCCCTTGTGGGTTTGCACATGATGGACTTTTCCTTCCCAGCATCAACGTAAGACTTAAGATGGCGTATCCTAAAATAATGGTGGGATGAGTATGTGAATCTGGTTATAGTTATGTATAACTGCAGGCTGAAATAAGATATACAGGAAATCCATTAAAACTGATTATGTAAAATTACAGCTGTTTCATGTTCTCATCCTATGCTTTTGCAAGGCTTTATTGATCCAGGTTAATCAAGGTGGGCAGCAGAGCAGAAGCAGGCTTAAACATCTCAATAGACAAAATAAATCATTTTCCACAGGTACTGGAGATAAATTGCATCCATCAACCAAGGCTGTTGCAATATCTATATTATCTAATTCCAGTATCCCTTGTTCCTGTTAAATTACTGCAAATCTTTAATATGATTCTCCAATGACACTGGCAATAAGAATAACAGTATTTTGACTGTATATTCAAGTGGCCAGTATATGTATTATAATATATACATATATGGTTTAACATTTAGTATGTGTGTGTGTGTGTGTGTGTGTGTATATCAAAATCCAAATATATATATATATATATATATATATATATATATATATATATATAATATGTGCTTCTATGTGCAGGATAATCTAATATAGCAATTAATATAACAGTTGATTGGTGGTTCCTAATATGACTTGGATCAATATACATCTGTCATTAAGCTGACATCTGTGCAGTCTCAGGTTTGTAAATGAAAGATGTTGTCCATCCATTCCTTACTAAAAGAACAAAATAATCGCTACATCATGTGAGACAATGCAGCACCAGTTATAGTAAATCTTTTTTGTTTTTTTTAAATAAAGTTACTGACTAAAATGTAACATCAGGTTGTAAATTATAACGTTTAGGCGGGCAGATATATTATAGTTCTATGTTTTTAAAGGTCTGTTACGAAATGTGTCATGAGATGGAATCAGCGATGTAGTAGCAAAGAATCATGAATGACTATAAATGAATGTATGTGAATATAGGCAGACACGTCTTGTTCATTAACTCCTTTATGATCTAGACTACCTAGCAGTGTCCATTCCAATTACTAATCTGAAAATGATTCCTGTTATCAGGGGTACGTCAGATGTTGGTTAGAATATCCCTGTGAATCACATTCAATACCATTAAGACCAAAAACAGAACATTTAGATATATTTGTAATCTGTATTAAGATCACAAACCTTATTACAGTAAACCCTTGAAAGACCGATAGCTCTGTATGTTGTCACAACAGTCTGGTTTTTGGATACCATATTTCAAAAGCAGAATGACCCACTCATTAAATGACAGCATAACTGAGTTGAGCTGGCAGTGCTAAATAAGTAAATATGCAACAATAGTTTTTTTGCATAAGGTCCATAGGGACCCAATTGTGATGATGGCAAGGAATGTCATTGAACCTTAAGGCGTTAAAATAAGGGAGATGAATAGCTGCATTGATGTATTGTACTGTTATTTGGTGTTAAGCTCTGCTATTTGGCTTATCACAGGTAATATTAGATGATTTTTCTATTACAGTTGTAATCAAAATTATTCAATCTCCATTTACAGACTTTGTCAAAGTTTACAGACTTTCAGTTTTTTGCAATTAAAAAAATCAAACACAAGCAATTGAAATAGCTCAACAACAGTGAATGATTAAAGTGGTTTCCTAAATTCAACTGAAAAAGCAGCGTATAATTACTTCTCCAGTCTCAAAATTAATAAAACCCCTGAATAGAATACCTGAAACAACATAAATATGCAAAACAGGTGTTGTTCACCTAGTTGCACTAGGTGTGATTAAGCCGGAGCACTTTAAATACCTGTACTGGCTAGGGGTTTGCTGAGTGTCACGTTTGACTGCATGTTAGAGATATGGCTAGGACAAAAGAATGGTCCACAAACTTAAGAGAAGAGATCATTGCCATACACAAACAAAGAACAGGATACAAAAAGATAGCGAAGGCACTGAATGTTCCTAGAGATCGTTGGAAGCATAGTTAGCAAGTTCAAAGTTTAAAGGAAAAGAGGTTACACTACCTGGATGGGGCAGAAAAAGGAAGCTATCAATAACTGCAAGCAGATTTTTAAAAAGAAAAGTTGAGAAAAACCCTCAAGTGACTGCAAAAGACCTGCAGCAAGAGGTTTCAGTGAGCACAGTAAGGTGCATACTAAACACACAAGATTTCTATGCCAGAACTCCAAGACGTACACCACTACTGTCCCAAAAGCACAAAATCATATAAATAAGCCACAGATGTTTGGGGATTCCATTATGTGGAACAATTAAACAAAACTGGACCTTTTTGTCCCGACTGATCAGAGGTATCTCTGGAGGAAGAAGAATGAAGCATCCGCTGAAAAGAACACTCTGCCTACAGTTAAGCATGGTGGTGGCTTGGTTATGCTCTGGGGCTGCTCTGCATCCTCTGGCATTGGGAACCTGCAGCATGTGGAAGGCAAGATGGATTCATTGACGTATCAGGAAATCATGGGAGAAAATGTTATGCCGTCTTTAAGGAAACTGAAGCTTGGGCATCATTGGACCTTCCAACAAGACAATGATCCCAAGCATACCACAAATTCCACCAAGGCTTGGTTGCAGAAGAAGTGCTGGAACATTCTACAGTGGCCATCACAGTCATCTGACTTGAACTCCATAGAAAATCTGTGGTGGGATTTGAAGAAGGTGGTTGCAGCACGCAAACCCAGGAATATTACTGAACTGGAGGCCATTGCTCATTAGCAATGGGCTAAGATTCCTCAGGAACGCTGCCAGAAGCTGGTGTCTGGCTATGCATTTCATTTGCAGCAGGTCAACAACAAAAAGGTGCTTTACTAAGTACTAAAGATGCTTGCCCATGAAGAGGCTGAATAATTTTGTGACTGGAGAAGTCATTAGAAGTTGCATTTTCAGTTGAATTTGGGGAAACCACTAAAAGCATTCATTGTGTTGAGCTATTTCAATTGCTTTTGTTTTATTTGCTCATGGCAAACAGCTGAAAGTCTGTACAACCGTATGTGTTTTCGCTTCCCATGTGGCATTTTAAGGGTGTACTATTATCTTATTTGGGGGAGGGAAAGAAACATTTGATTATTTGGCTATAACTTCACATGTCTGTTCGTCCATCCATTGTAAAGCGCTGCGGAATTTGATGGCGCTATATAAATAACATAATAATATTAATAATAATAATGTGGAAGATCCATACAGCCTAGACCTTGCACATGTGGGCTATGGGTGTCAGCAGTATTATTAAGTTTGTGTTTCACTGGGTAATGGAAGACATATACCCACATATAGGTCTGTGGAAATTTCTCACTGTATTATATAGGGCAGAGTGAGTGTATGTCTACTTTACCTTTATCAGAGCCAAAATGTCAACCGGTCCCCCCCACTCCCTCCTTGAGTTAGTGTCATAGGATGCATGCTGAGAGTTATCCGCAGCCATCTATTCATATGTATCAGATGTTTTTATTACTGCATCCCCCTTTGTGTATTGTACCCCAGTATTATTAGCATAGGATTAAAGTGACAGGAAGTGATATCACATCCCATTACCCCCTTTTTGTAATTGTGAGTGCCATAAGGGAGAAAACACTACTGCTTAATCAGCGGATACAGATGGTAATGTGTAATGAGCAGGACTCTCTGGGCTTGGAACCTCTGCATTACAGCCTAACTGTTATAGGGCTTATTATACACAATCCTCTATGTTTATACTCACATGATTTCCATGTGACTTATAATACAAGTTACATTTAAAAATGTACAAAATGTATTTTCCCATGTCTAGATGAATTGTTTGTAGTTGTACATTACTTTTATCCATATTGTACGGTTATGTGTGTAATATTTAAGATGTGCTGCTTTCACTTCCATATTTTAAAATCATTTACTGAGAAACATTGAGAGAGCTACATTGTCATTTGTTTCAACATGACACATAATAAAACTATTTTTTTTTTAATTTGCTACAAAGGGAAATCTGTTATCCACAAGACAGCAAAATCTAGAAGGGGTTTTATTCATTCAGGTTTCCTGATAGTATAATACAATAAAATCTACAGTCCAAATATAATGAAAGATATATCCCACTCCCTTTATCATTCTTGCTGACAAAGAGGCCAATAACTGTACAAAGAATTTCTGAAGAACCCCCTGAAAAAAAAGTAATCTGTGGTGATTTCTGTGGCTAGTTTGTGATAAAATTAGCAGGCCTCAGCAGTAAAACTAAGCTTGAACTACCAATAAAAAGAATACAGATTGTATTGTATTCCCGATTAGAAATTGTGGTTTGATAAAAAAAATCACACAACTTGTCCTGAAATCCTTTCTGAGTTTGTGATATATGTGTAAGGAAGGTCCCACTTATGTATTGAAGGAATATATCTGGGCTGCTACTAAATTAATGGGCACTAGATGATCCATAGACATATCTAAGTGTACCATTTGAACCATATTTCAGCTCTTCATCCTGTGTAACACCAATTTGTTGTTCTAAAGATCTCTCAACAGAAACCACATCTAACATGAACAATTTAAGCATACTTCCTCAAAGGTATTTGGGTTGATCTATGGTACCCCCGTTTTTAATTCTGAAACCTTCACAATGACATAATGAGAATTAGATATAAATAGGAGAGATAAACATAAAATCAAATGAAATGTTTCTGCTGATTGCTACATTTTGCGAAAATATTTCACCAAATTACTGTATAATCCAGAAATGAGATGTTTTTAATTAAATCTATAGTTGGTTGTTTTTAAAATATAAAGTCTGTGCTCCAGCATAGGAGTGAATTAGTTAAACTGGTTTATAACCTAAAGGAAGCAGAGAGGATGAGGTAAAACACAGCATTAAATACAGACAAATGCGGACAATCTGCAAGCAATTAATGCAGTGTTACAGATAAAACGACAGCCCCCTCTCTTGTGCAATTGCTCTGACCTGTTGGATTCTGCCCTTAAATCAAGGCCAAGGGTGGGAGGTTTGAACTCAGCTTTTGTATGTTTAACTGTTGTGGTTAATTTACCTTGTCGGTCTTGACCTAACAATTTTCAGCAGTTATAAGTACTGACAGGGGAACAATCCTACCCAAACAAATTGAAGATAGGCCAAATAGGATATCATAATGTTTGCACACCCCAGAAGTAATTGATGTCTTAGCATAAAATGTTAGGACTGGTTACTGGAAAAGTGTGGCCTTCATTGTGTTCAACATTACAACTCCCAAATTCTCAGCCAGCCAAAGAGTAATATAATATAATTTTAAGAAAACAGAAGTGATATAAAGTTAGACTGATTAAACTCCACATGGAGTCTTGCATCCGTGCATTTCCCACGCCTCTGCATGCCTGGGATTTAATTTGCGGATTCAATTTTGCTTTGTGTCTTTCTCTGTGTTGTCAAACGCATGTGCTTCCATTGTACCACTCCATAGCTATGTGTTGCTTGCCATGTTATCACCACTCCCAGCAACTAACCAACTCGATAACAAGGTGTCAGGGCAATGTAACCAAACACCCCCATGGCGTTATTTATACTGAGCTGTAAATTTGTCAGATTCTTGGGAGAGTGTGACTGACGTTGATACCTCCGCCTTAAGCTGAGAGCCAGTAGATCGTCCTGCTCCCATTTTACATTTTTATCTGTCCCAGAGGAGATAAGGGACTTGCCATTGAGAAGGGCTGACTGATACATTAATAGGTATCAGCACACGTCCAAACCAAATCCAGCCTGCTTCTGTCGCTCTGCTCAGCATTTTACACGTGATCATATTATTAATGAGTCTGTCTGCATCACAGTTTTACTAAGCCACATTCCAATACAGAGGGAGTTATTTAATAAATTGTGTTTGTTACTAGAATTGAGACGCATTTGGCACAGAATAAGCAGTGAAGCAACACAAATTTACTACAAAATCATCCACTTCCTTTTATGCGTGTACTTCATAAATGTATTGGCACTTCCCACTCTGTCCAGTTGTGTATGTGACCAGGAGACCAGTTACGTTTACTGATTTTATCTAATTGTTAATCCACCTCCTGTCTTGTTATGAGATATACAAAGAGCATGATAATTCTCTCAATGCTGACACATTTGTATTGTACTATGAAAATCACAGACATGAATCAAAATTATATACATCCATTGAAAATACATTGAAGATGCCTGTTACAATAACAAAGGGTTAAGCACCATGGCCATTTCAGTGATTCAATGCAGCACATATAGACCCCTCCGCTGCTGGAGGTATGACTCCACCACGGGCCGCGTCATTGGGCATCATTAGCGGTCAGCTGACATTCTCAGCCAATGAATGGCTGGTGGGATCGATACCAAAACATCATATTTGTGTGTGGCCATAAGGATGCCGTTTAAATAAAAATGATAACTAAAAAAAGACCTCCGCATTTAACACTATAGAGCATGTCTCAACCCAAATTCCAAGGAGTGAGCATCATTATTAGACTAAGACAGGGGTAGGCAATCTTTGTCACTCCAGATGTACATTATTATTATTATTATGATATTTATAGAGTGCCGTCAAATTCCACAGCAATTTACAATGGGTGGACGAACAGACATGTAGTTGTAACCAGACAAGTTGGACACACAGGAACAGAGGGGTTGAGGGCCCTGCTCAATGAGCTTACATGCTAGAGGGAGTGGGGTAAAATGACACAAAAAGGTAAGGATAGTATTAGACTAGTGACAGTTGCCAAAGAGGAATCAGTCAGGAGCTATTAACAGTTTAATGGATATGCTTTTATGAAGAAGTCGGTCTTTAATGATTTTTTGAAAGAGTGGAGACTGGGTGAGCATCTAACGGAGGAGGGAAGCGAGTTCCACAGGAATGGTGCAGCCCTCAAGAAATCTTGAAGGCGAGCATCAGAGGTGGGAGTACGGACAGAAGATAGACGTAAGTCTTCGGCAGATCGTAAGGGCCTAGAAAGGACATACTTGTGTATAAGGGAGGATAGATAGGTGGGAGCAGCATTATGTAGAGATTTGAAAGCAAGAACCAGAATTTTAAATTGAGCTCTATATTTTATAGGAAGCCAATGTAGGGACTGACAGAAGGGTGAGGCATGGGAGGTGCGGGCGGACAAGAAGATGAGCCTCGCCGCCGCATTCATTATAGACTGTAACGGCGCAAGTTGGGAGCACGTAAGACCACTGAGAAGTGGATTACAGTAGTCAAGGCGAGAAAGGACAGTGGAATGGACCAACACCTTAGTCGCATCTCCCATAATGCTGTTACAACAATATTGCTGGCAAAGCATCATGGGAGATGTAGTCCACAACATCTTGAGTGCCAAAGATTGCCTACCACTGGACAAGGGTATTCATCAGACACCTCTTTATTAATAAAGGGGACCCAAAATATGTATTTCTTATACCCTCACCGAGCAGTGAACATCAGTATAAAAATTGTGATTCAGGAAAAGGGCATGACTTACAGAGCTGGGTATAAGCATCACACATTTTGTTTCCTGTACAGGAAACAATAATATGCATACAAAACTTTAAAGCCTCAATGGTTACCTACCACCAATCTCATACTCCTAGTTTTTCAATAGTTTAATTTTAAATCGTATTTTGTCCTTTCAGGAACATGGATGAGGCCAGCATGTTGCACTGTTGTCTGCTGTCACACTGAAAGTACGTCCATGTCAGTGTACACTAGGTAATCTGACTGACATTGTAAACAAAGCAGGACCTTAAATGTGGTATCAACAGGTATAGGATTAACACAAAAAAAATAAAAATAAACCCAGAAAATGGGCATTACGTTTTATATGCTTTCCCGTTAAGCAAATTCTCTCCAAAAATACATTGATTGGTCCCAGAAAATCAACCTTCTTAAACATGTCCTATTCTAATCACGTTAGAAATGAACGTTGAAAGGATATTTGATTTGTTGCAGGTCATTCTTCCCCCGGAAGCGGTTGGGAAAAATAAAGTCAATTTATATATCTTTTGAACAAATATGAGGGATACAGGATATTTGGTTTTATAGATGTTTTGTTATTTAGAATAAAGTGACCTGAATTTAGCATGAGCTGCTGATCTGAGAAACTTTATATTTATTTATTGTGTTTTGTTTTCCTTGTAATCTTCACTACAATATACTGTGTCACTTGTTTTCCTCGCAATTAATTGTATTTGTAAAGTATGAATTTATATATATGGATTGTAAATACAATAGTACAACTGTCATTTACTCACTATATATTTTTTTAACAAACCTTTACTGGTGTCTGTAAATTTTTTGTTTAAACGTGATAAATCTGAATCAGGGCCGACTAGGCAAATTAGACAGCAACCACTAGGCAAATTAGACAGCCGCCTAGGGCACACTGACCCGGGGACAGAATGTCCGGGAGCAGGGCCACCATCAGGGGTGACAACCATAACGGTTGTCATGGGCCCAGCGGTCCTGGGGAGCCCGGACTGCTTTGGCAGTCCAAGGCCCCACAATTACTCTTTGCACATATATATAGCGATGATCGGTATTTGCAGAGGGGGCCCAGCGGACTGCAGGAGCACTTTACAGATGTTCCCTGTCTCTAACTCCCGCGAGATGTGCCGCCGTTAGAGCGTTGCCACGGGTTACCAAGGCAACTCTCCGCGTGGCGCGCACACCACGTCTCGCGGGAGTTAGAGAGAAGAAGAGAAAATCTGTAAAGTGCTCCTGCAGTCCGCTGGGCCCCCTCTGCAAATACAGAGAGACGGGCCACCAGGGATCATGGACTCTTCCCCCTGGACCAGGTAAGAAACAGGGAGGGGAATAACTTTCATTACATTACATGCATACACTAGTAAACACACACACACTCTGCATTCATTACACTAACACACACTCTGCATTCATTACACTAACACACACACTGCATTCACTACACTGACACACACACTGCATTCACTGCACTAACACACACTCTGCATTCATTACACTAACACACACACTGTATTCATTACACTAACACACACTGAATTCATTACACTGACACACACACTGCATTCACTGGACTAACACACACACTGCATTCATTACACTAACACACACTCTGCATTCACTGCACTAACACACACTCCGCATTCATTACACTAACAGACACACTGCATTCATTACACTAACACACACTCTGCATTCATTACACTAACACACACACACACTGCATTCATTGCACTTACACACACACTGCATTCACTGCAGTAACACACACACACTGCATTCATTACACTAACACACACTGCATTCACTGCACTAACACACACACACTGCATTCATTACACTAACACACACACTGCATTCACTGCACTAACACACACACTGCATTCATTACACTAACACACACTACATTCACTTCCCTAACACACACACTGAATTCACTGCACTAACACACACACTGCATTCATTACACTAACACACACTGCATTCATTGCACTGACACACACTCTGCATTCATTACACTGACACACACTCTGCATTCACTACACTAACAGACTCTGCATTAACTATACACACAGCATCCACTACACAAACATCCTGTATTCACAGTACACACACTACATCCACCACACATTCAAACATTCTGCATTCACTATACAGAGACACTGCGTCTAATACACACACTACATCCACTACAGACACTGCATCCACTAAACACATTGCATCTAGTACACACAAAAACTACATCCACTACACAAACACACACTACATCCACTACTCAAACACACTCTGCATTCACTATACACACTGCATCCGCTACACAAACACACACTCTGCATTCACTGCACAAATAGTATCTAATACACACAAACACTACATCCATTACACACATTCTAATTCACTTCCACTATACACACCACATTCAGTCCTGCATCAGAGGACCCCCCCAGCACTCCCAAAGGTAAGGAGGCTGGGGGCAGGGGGTAATTTAAAAAAAAAAAAAGAAGGTGTTAATGTGAGTGATTGTGTGTGTGTGTGTCTGACTGTGTGTGTGTTTGTGTCTGTGTGTGTGTTTGACTGTGTGTTTGTGTCTGACTGTGTGTGTGTGTGTGTGTGTGTGTGTCTGACTGTGTGTGTGTTTGTGTCTGTGGTGTGTGTCTGACTGTGTGTTTATGTCTGAGTGTGTGTGTGTGTGTTTGTGTGTGTCTGGCTGTGTGTGTTTGTGTCTAACTGTGTGTGTGTTTGTGTCTGTGTGTATGTCTGACTGTGTGTTTGTGTCTGACTGCGTGTGTGTTTGTGTCTGTGGTGTGTGTCTGACTCTGTGTTTGTGTCTGACTGTGTGTGTGTGACTGTGTGTGTGTGTGTGTATTTGTGTCTGTGTGTGTGTGTGTGTTTGTGTCTGACTGTGTGTGTGTGTGTCTGACTGTGTGTATGTGTGTCTGACTGTGTGTCTGACTGTGTGAATGTGTGTTTGTGTCTGACTGTGTGTGTGTGTGTCTGACTGTGTGTGTGTGTGTGTGTGTGTGTGTGTGTCTGACTGTGTGTGTGTTTGTTTGTGTGTGTGTGACTGTGTGTGTGTGTGTGTGTCTGACTGTGTGTGTTTGTGTCTGACTGTGTGTGTGTTTGTGTCTGACTGTGTGTGTGTGTGTGTGTGTGTCTAGAAGGTGGGGCGGGGGGAAGGGTTGGGTGGGGGTGGCGCGGGGGAAAGGGGGTGCCTGAGTTTTGTCCTGCCTAGAGCAGCACAAAACCAGGATACACCACTGGGTACCTCAGGTATCTGTACTTGGACCCATTCTCTTTACATTTTTATTAGTGATATTGCAGAAGGTCTTGATGCTAAGATATGTCTTTTTGCTGATGATACTAAAATGTAACAGGGTTGATGTTCCAGGAGGGATATGCCAAATGGCAAATAATTTAGGTAAACTAGAAAAATGGTCAGAGATGTGGATAAGTGCAAGATAATGCATCTTGGACGTAAAAACCCAAGGGCAGAGTACAGAATATTTGATAGAGTTCTAACCTCAACATCTGAGAAAAGGGATTTAGGGGTGATTATTTCAGATGACTTAAAGGTAGGCAGACAATATAATAGAGCAGCAGAAAATGTTAGCAGAATGCTTGATTGTATAGGGAGAGGTATTAGCAGTAGAAAGAGGGAAGTGCTCATGCTATTGTACAGATCACTGGTGAGACCTCACTTGGAGTCAGGCCAGCCTTAGGGGTGTGCGAGCTGTGCGGCGCCATGGAGCAGGGGGCACCCTGTGGCCGACACTGATCACACACCGGCTACCCGTGGAGGATTTCATTGTTCTCCACCCGGGATAAAAAAAAACTAAAAACATTATGACAGGGGTGGGGCTTAGTGTGCAGTGGAGCGGGGCTAAATGACGGTGGGGGCAGGGCTAGAAGTTCCAGGTAATTGCTGCATGGGAAGCAGGAGGTAGTCCCTGCTTCCCCAACAACCAGAATCCAGGAGCTGCACTGCCTCCACTCCTCCATAATGAATAGAGGTAACTATGTGTGATATTGTCTGCCCGCGTGTGACTGTCTGCCTGTGTCTGTGTGTGTGTAAATGTCTGCCTGTGTGTGTGACTACGTGTGTGTGACTGTCTGCCTGCCTGTGTGTGACTTCCTGTGTGTGTGTGACTGTCTGCCTCTGTGTGTGTGCCTGTCTGCTTGTGTGGACTGCCTGTGTGTGTGTGTGTGTGTGTGTGACTGTATGCCTGTGTTTATGTGTGACTGTCTGCATGTGTGTGCGTCTGTCTGCCTGTGTGTGCGTGGCTGTATGCCTGTGCGTGTATGTGTGGCTATCTGCCTGTGTGTGTGTGTGTGTGTGTGGCTGTCTGCCTGTGTGTGTGCATGTGTGACTGCCTGTGTGTGTGTGACTGTCTGCGTGTGTGTACGTGGGACTGTCTGTCTGTGTGTGCGTGTGTGTGGCTGTCTGCCTGTGTGTGTGTGTGTTTGTGTGTAGCTGTCTACCTATGCGTGTGTGTGCCTGTGTGTGTGTTTGTGTGGCTGTCTGTGGCTGTCTGCCTGTGTGTGTGGCTGGCTGTGGCAGTCTACCACACACACACACACAGAGAGACACAGAGGGGATGGGGGAGAAAGAGACAAAAAAGCTGCTGGGGGGACAAAGAGACACACAAATGGACTGGGAGGGACAAAAAGACACAGAGAGGCTGGATGGGAAAAAGAGAAACGAAGAGGGCTGGGGAGACAAAGAGACACAAAGAGGGCTGGGGGACAAAGAGACATGCAAAGCAAGTGGGGGATAAAAGAAACACACAAAGGGGCTGGGGGAAGATACATACATATGGGCTAGGGATATGGAAAAAGAGACACACAAAGGAATTGGGGGAGAAAGAGACACATAAAGTGGCTGAGGGTAGAAAGATACACCCAAAGTTGGCAAGTTGCTGGTCTTGCCTGGGGCATAAAATAGTCTTGCACCGGCCCTGATGTGAATGCAATGGATTATTGTTCAAATCACAAACATCCAATCATGGATTTAGCAAATATAAAAATGCTTATTTCACATGAGTGCATGTTTAAAAGCACTTTTTGGAAATGAAAGTAAACATTCTATATACTTCTAATGAATTAGAAAATTAGTTTATTAGTCTACCCGGAACTTCTATATTACACGCCTTGTAGCAAACTCTGCACCGCATCTTTCAAAACTTCCTTTCTAAAACTCTTCTTTTTTGAGGACGTCACTAATCACTAGCTAGGCAACCAAGCGTGGGCACCTGGTGATACGAAGATCTAGTTTGCAACCTTTGTAGAATGTGGAATATACAACCTGTAGTATGAGCCCTGGGGTGAGGGAGTGAGAAGTTAGTCTGTTTTCATCTGCAAAGAGAACACTTGGATCTTAATAGCACAATTCTTTACAAAAGCTATGTGGTTTTATTTATTTTTTAAATGGTACTAGTTTAAAATTTGAGATGAAAACCTAGTGCTATTATGATTTCATGAATACCCTTGTGCCACTATTGTAAGTAGTCAAACAACTTGCTGACAATTAGTCTACATACACGGTCTCCTAGAGTGCTGGTGCCTGCCTGCTCCTGTGTGGAATGCTGGAATCTCCTGCTCGGAGCTTCTGTTAGCTCCTGACCTAAGATTTTATGCTGCTAGTCTTAGCTCTGGCAGAGAGCTCCTGGAAGTGCCAGAGAAAAGAACCCTTAGCAAATTCTTTGACTATTTACATTGCGGGCACCAGAGAACTCCTGGTACCATAACCCACTACAGCACGCTGCAGTTGTTATGGTGTTTGGAGTGTTCCTTTAAATCAATACTATAAGAGCGCCTGCTTTAATGCCAGTGAAAATTCTCAGCAGGGCAGGTGCTCTCTGCTAAACAAACATAGAGACATTTACATACATACAAATATACACTGCCACATGCAATTATTCACACACCGATATAGACACTGGTAGGCATATACAGATACTCATTATAATGTACACTCAGATGCACACTGCCACATACACAAGCAGAAAGACACAAGCAAACACACAGATGATTACATAAATACATATTGTAACCCCTTTCTGGTTTTCATTCTTCTTGGGTTCAGGGAAGTAGCTTACCTTGGGTACAATGTGGAGTAAGCTGGCACTAGTGGGACTAGTTGAAGTTGTGATCTGCCTTCTCTCCAGCACATGGCTCAGTGTGTGCCAGGAGAAAGTGATGCTTAATTTGTTCCTCATGCTGTCACACCAGGGAAAAATAAATGTGTCCTGCTGAGGGGTCAATACCCTCAAGTACACCTCATAGATTTAAAGGGCCCCAAATGGGCTCCATCGCTTCTACGGGCCCGGACAATGCACTTCAATATACTAATGGTAGTCCTTAGTTTCAAATAAATTAATCTGCTACCAGGAATATTTGGTTTTAGGTTTTTATATTTATGTCTTAAGACTTGTATGCTCCTTGCTGATAATGGCAGTTGTCTTAATTGGATATGTGAAGGGTATTTTTGAAGTCTGTCTTTAACTTCAACACACTTGTAATATGTTTGTAATTTAAACAGATTAATTTTTTTAAACATTAAATTCCCCCTTTTTTGTC